CCGCTCAGGATGTACACAGTGAGGACAGGGGGAGATGACGGGAAATGGTCACAAAGTCTTTGCTGCTCTCCCTGTCCAGAGCTAGAACCTGTTTCTCCGTGCCCTGAATCCTGGTTGGCCTTGTGGTTTGTTTGGACCAGAAAAATGTGACAAACCAACATGGAGTATTCCTGAACCCAGATTTAAAGATTCTCAGAAGCTTTGGTTCTTGTTATCTTGGAACGCTGATGCCGGCTAAACGTCCAAGTTACCCTTCCACAGACGTCATGTGAAGGAGAGCCACAGTGTCTGGCCAGCAGCACCCACAAGTTACACCATTTCAGGTCACCCAGCCTCTCCAGCAGCCGATGGCTAATGAGGTCAGGGGTGGCTGACAGAGGACTGGCCCACTGGACCAGACTAGACCCACCCACCTGAAAAGAGCAAGTGAAGAGCTGGTTATTTCAAAGCATGACACATGAAGGTGGCTTGTTATAGAGAAACAGAGAAGTGCTTCACAGGGCAAGCGCGATGGTAATGGTGCTGCTAGTAGCGGCTGGTAATGGCACAGCGATGGACTCCCATGATGATGGAGGAGGTGGTGATGGTGGTAGTGGTGGCTACGTTGCCAATAGACTGATGTGAAGATGGAGGTGGTAGTGACAATGATCGTGGTGGTAGTCATGACAGCAAGGATGACGATAATGTCCGAAATGGTGTCGTGATGAGACTTACTGGGAAGGTGGAGGTGGTGTGGTGGTGATGATAATGACAGCAGTGATTATGGGGAAGGTGAAGGTGATGGCCGTGGTGGTGATGGTGGGGAGGATGGTGATGATGCGGTAGTGGTGTGGTGATGCACTCACTGTGGAAGTGGAGGAGGTGGTGGTAAGAATTGTGGGCATGATTGTGGTATGTGTGGTTGTTATGGTTTATACCTGGATGTCTCTCCAAAGCTTCTCCCATGCAGAGGTGGGGCTTTTAGGTGGCTATTGGATCACAGGGCACTATACTCACTGGTGGATTAGCTCACTGATGGGTTTATAACCAAATGTGTTGTTCACAGGTGGAGTCTGGTTGGAAAAAGCAGTCTCTGGGGTCACGGGCTAGAAGGCTACACAGTATCTCCCTGCCCAGCTCCTCTCTTGAATCTCTGCCTCCAAGTCACCATGAGCTGGGCAGCTTTTCCTCCACCAGGTCCCTCTGCTCTGCCTTGGAACCAGCTGACTACGTACAGCAAACACGAGCCAGAATAAACCTCTCCTCCTTTAAATTGCAGGTGTCAAGTATTCTCCCCAGCAACAAGGAAGTGACCAAGACTGGTGGTGATAACTCTGTTCCCTCTAAGTTATCATAGAAAGAGTTAATCTTGTTTGACATGGTTTTTGTGTATTTTGCTGTTTGGGACAAAGAGTCGACTTATACCTGCAGGTGACTTCCTGGGAAAATGAACACACGGACATTTGGCTCAGCCTTGGAACGAAGCGACCTTCCTCTGGTTGGGGCTTCCGAGAGAGCCTCTGTGGCGCTTCCTGATGCGCTCACATCCCAGGGGCAACACTAGAGGGCTTGTGTGCGTGGCCTCCCAGAGCACAGAGCTGAGTTGCATGACAGCCAAGCAACCCTTCAATTTAGCACCGTGCAGCTGGTGAAGAAAGAGCTTTTATTGGGGCATAAATATTTTGAGATACTTATAATGTGATTGCATGTGGTTTAGATGCACTCAGAGATGGTAGAGGGGGGATAAATATCAGCACTATACCGAAAGTAGAAGTACCGGAAATTGCTTCTCACCTTGCTCACCTCTCGATGGGGTGGGCAGCCTCCTCTGGCCACCCCCATAGTGCAAGGTCCACCAGCTCAGACACGAGTGGAGCTCTGTGGACGTCACGTTGGAGCCATCACCAGGCTGGTTTCCTTTCCTGAGAAATGACCACGATATCCAGACATCCAGGGTAGATGAACCCCAGAGGTGTCACACAGCTGAGTTTTTCCCTGTGTCTGCGGAGCACTCATGGAACCTCCCCCCTGCCCACACAGGAGGCCATCCCCAGGTACCCTCGCCCCACCTGGTCTCTGCACACTTGTGCTGTGGTCCTGTATTCCACTGGAAATGTCAACAACTGTCCACATCAAGGCCTCATGGTGCTCTAGGCTTGTTGTGCAAAAAGACAAAAATACAAATGTTCTACCGATGGAGACCACTGCGAAGTGGCTCTGAGCAGGATCTGATATTAACCAACTGGCTTTCCTTGTTTACTTGTGAGCCTGTCCAAAGCCTAGGCTCCTTGTTTGGAGATGGGCAATGGACTCATAAGTGAACCTCTATGAATCACTGGTCCCAGCTGAGGCCTGTAGTGGCCTGTGAAGCCATGACATCTCAAAAGACAAGATAAGGCCAGAGCTGAGGATGCCTGGCTCCAACCCCAATTAACTAAAAAGAGACTGCAGCTGCAGGCTCCACAGTCCTACAACAAATGTCAACCTGGAGATAACATAGTCTCAGAATTATCATCCTTTGCTACCTGGGGAAGTCTTTGAACTGTCTCCCAGGATTCCACTCAGATTCCTTCATTTTTTTCAGTATCCCCCTCCTTTGTTTGAAAACCAAATAAATACAGGCCACCCAGAGAAGTTCTTTGTCTTAGCCCCCAGAGAATCTCAAATTCTATTGGAGGGTTTTAAACCTCCTGGAGACCTAAAATCATACCACTTAACTCTTTTATGTACACCTTCACCATCCACTTGTGTGGGAGACTATGGGTCTGATCAGTCCACAGTAACTAAGGGATATTAGTAACTGGATATTCAACAACCTAAGAACCCTGTAAGGTGACTTGGAAAAATAGGGTAGAGTCAGATTAAACACAAAGCTCCGTGACACAGTCTGACTCATTGTGCAATTACCCATAAGGCGGGTTCTGCAGTGATTTCATTTTCCTGAACTGTCCCTGAAGAAACTTGAGTGCTCCAGAGGTGAGGAGAATCATTCATCTGTCAACTCCTCAAGTGAGCAGAGGGAACTCTGTGTGAAGCATCTTCCAAAAGGTCCTCAGCATCTCCAAGCACAAAGTCAAAAACAGCACCTAACACCTGGAACAGTCCCACGGGACGTTGTGAGCACGAGGGGCCACACAGCACTCTCCAGGTGGGCCCAGGCTTCCCCTCATCCTGCAAACCGGCCAGCATGCACCAACAGCCCAAGAACGGAGCTCGCCCCCCCATGGCACGCACATGCCTTGACGGCTCCCGTTGGTCTTCCTGGCATCAAAACTCTGAGCTGCCTGCGTTCCTTTCACCCAGAATTCCTCTCATCACCTACCCATACATCCCTCCCCCAGCAAGAGGCCAGGATGGCACTCAGCAGTCCTCAGACCCTGTGTCCTCACAAAGCCTCAGCATCCAGTCACCAGACTGAACCGCTGTCTGAGGTCTCCACTTACCCATTCATTCTGTTCCCTGAGGTCTGTTGGCATCTGATCCCAGGCTCCTGGCCCTGCTGGTGGGCAACTGTGCATACAGACCAGTCCTGGGTGAGCTCTCAGTTGCCTGGGGCCAGGCAGGCCTCTGGCACCTGCAGGAGGAGCTGCAGGCTCTTCAGGTCCCACAGAGGAAGCCGTGAGTAGCTGGGCAGGTGGGGAGGCAGACATACCCGTTGGCAATGACCAGCAGGTCCACCACTCCTACAGTGAACCCCAGAGCCACCACACCTACAAGGTACCCCCTCCCACACCATTTCCTCAAGCTATCCCAGTGAAATCCTCAGCCACTGGGCTCCCACTTGATCCCAAAGACAACGTGTACTCCAACCAGGATGGCGTCCTCCACTTACCTGGAAATGGCCACCTTGCAGCTCGTCAGCCACCACCCCTCACCACTTGTGCTGACCAAGTCCCCTGCAAGCAGGCACCACCACGGGATTAAACCAGGGGTGTACCCTGGCAGTGCTGTGAGGACAGAGGGGGTGGCCAAGGACACCCCTCCTCAGATTGCAGGTGATGGGGTAGGAGGGGCTGGTGGAGGAGCTGCAGGGTCCCTGGACTCTCCTGGCCAGGCCTGTGGGGACACCTGGCACCAGAGTAACCCCGAGAGGGAGACAGGCTGAGCTCAAGGCCAACCTGAGGGGCAGCGCTCAGGGCAGACAGCTGGGCATGTGCCCACAGCTGCCATGCGGCGGCTACACTCAGGCACACTCAGGCAGGGAAGCTCCCACACTTGCACACGGCACACCCTCAGGAGATACTGAGATACCATTCGCACACTCACACCCACCTAAGGACCCTGGCTCCTGGGAAGGCCCCTAGGACAGAGGACAGTGTCGCATGGTGCTCTGCTATTTCCCCTTATAGAGGCACACTGATGCCTCGAACAGCCCACCCTCAGCCACCTTAGTGTCCAGCCAGGAGAGGGGACACCAGCGAGGAGATGGCCAGGCCTCACCAGGCAGTTGCAGGAGAGAGGGGGACCAGGGCATCCCACAGCAGGGCCAATTCCTGGCACCAGGAGCAGAGGGGCTGAACCAGAGATCAGTCGTCTGCTGGGATGACCCTAGCCTCTCCGCAAGCTCCTAGGTGGACAAGCCAGCTGGTCACCTCTGGTTCTGCGGGATACGCAATGGGCCCGGGGCCCCCAAGCAGCCTGTGAGTTCATGCAGGAGGGCGTCGCGTCTGGCGGCCCCAGTCTCACTACGGCTGTGGCTGGCGGCCTCCCAGCCGACCCCCATCCCCTTCAGAGGCCGCGGAAAGCGGGGCTGCGCCCGTAAGGCGAGGGCCGCAGGACGTACTGCCGCTCCCTGAGGGCACGCGCGGTGCGGGCACCAGAACCGGGGTGAGGGTCGGGGCGACCCGCGCCGACGCGGTCTCGCCCTAGCCCAGCGAGGGAGGGGCACAGCTGCAGTGGAGGACTCGGGTTTTGCAGGACGGTTAGGGCGCCGGCCTCGCCCCAGCCGCCTCGGCTCCGCGGCCCCGCAGCGCCCCCCGCAGGCCGCAGCCGCGGGGCGGGACGAAGGGGCGGCCCCTCCGCTCCCTGCCCTCCCTCCCCGCCCTCCGCTCCCCTCCCGCCGCCCGCCGCCGCCCTCCTGCCCACTCTGCGCCCGCCGCTCGGCCGGCAGGACCGGAGCCCCTCGGCCAGGTGAGTGCTGCCGTCGGGCGGTGCCAGGGCGGATGAGACGGTCGATGGTGTCTCTGGGGCCAGCCCGCCGCCGTGCCCCGCTTCGGACCACCGTCCAGCCCGCCGCCGCCGCGGTGTCCTGCCCGCGCCCCACTCGTGGCCGTCTGCGCCCGCTGCCCCGCGGTCCCTTCGGTCTCTGGGCAACACGATCCGGTGGGGCTCTCGGCGCCCCACTTCCCAGCTGCCCGCTAAGCCCCGGGGCCGAGATTCCTGCATCTCCGCAGGCCGCGAGGGCCGGGAGGCCGAGGTCTGGAACCTCTGGCCTGGGGGACTTGGAGGGAGGCTGGGGCGGACACCCCAGCTTGGGCCGCAGCGTGGGGCGCAGGGCTCCGGGGGTACTCCTGCAGGGAGGAGGGGCGCTCTGGGCAGCAGACAGGGGCCTTTGGAGTTCTGGAGGGACAGCACAGGTCACAGCCCCCGCCCCGCCGAGGACAGTCCAGCTGCCCGGTCCCTCCCCTGGACTGTGCCCACATGACTGAGGGACCCCTCGGGAGAGGAAGGCGCCCAGGGCGCAGCACCCCGCCGCGCACCCACCCTGGGACTCCAGGGCGCCGCGGCAGAGCCCAGGGGCCCAGCGCGCCGGGTGGGAAGGCTCTCACACTGGGGAGCCCGCGCCCTGGAGAACCAGGCACCCCGAAAGAAGGAGGCCTGGGAGCCACCAATTTCCTGTTGTTTTTCTTCCAACCAAGTAGCTTTGGCTTGGCAGCCGGCTCACATTTAACTCCCCAAAAATACTAGGGTTTATGTGCTGCCTCCATTCAAGGAGCCCAGGAAACAGAACCATCACCAAGGGGGGCGGGCAGGAGTCCTGGGCCCGGCTGAAGGGGTCCCACGTGTGGGAACAGTGGGTCCCCTTTGCAGGGCGCACAAGTCTTGGGGCCAGTGAGCTGCTTCGGCGCTGCCCCTCTGCAGGTGAGGGTGGCTGTGAGTGAGTGGGAAGGGCAGCACCCCCGCAGAGCCAGGCTCACATTTTGTCAGAGCGCAGGCGGCACCTTCTGCACTGCTGAGGACACTGTCTCCGGCAAACACGGCAGCTCTGCTGGGGGGAGTTCTGGTCTCTCGGGGCCATGGGGCTGTGGGCAGCCAGGGCCTCCAGATGCAGCTCCCAGGGTCCAGGACAGAAGGGCCCAGCACCCAAGGGGCTAGAGATCTTCCCAGGCCTCTGATTCTGAGAACAGACCAGGCCGGAGCGCATCTGTGGTTCTTGCCCAGCAGGCTGCTGGGGTCCCCACATCCTTTAGACAGACTGTTCACAGTCCAAACCTCAGGTTTTAAAAGCTGGGGAAACCCAGCTCTTGTGATTACTCAGAGAAAACACACAAAGTGGGACCCTTTCCTTCCTCGGGGCACCAAACTCTGGTGAGTCTGTCCTGCTCTGCCCTCTCACATGTCCACGCCAAGCCAAGTCCCCCCCATGCGGGCCACTGCCCCGGGGTGCATGTGCGGCGGGGGGCAGTGAAGGACATTCTTCAGGGGACACCCAGCAGAGGGGGAGCCAGGCGGGGTGCCGCGCAGGCAGTCCCCCGTGTGTGAGGGCTTCAAGCTCATGGTCAGAACCCCACACAGGGAAGCAGAGCAGGATCGGGCCTCTCTGCAGTGGACACTGCTGCGGTCTTTTCCGACTTGCCCGCCCTCAGGGGACACCACGGCCTGGTGTGGGTTGGTTCTGGGTGTCTTTGGTTTTACGCACCGCAACATTATCTGGTCGCTGACATGTGTGGTTTCGCTGTGACTTGCCTGGCTGTGATTTCTGCCGTGCTCCTATTGGTGTTCATCTTTTTACTGCTTAGCAAGAGCTTCCTACAAGCACACAATTTTTTCTTGTGGTAAAATATACATAATATAAAATGTAGTGTCTTTTGCATGTTTAAGTGCGCAGTGCAGTGGTATTAAGCACCTTTTGTTGTTCTGCAACCATCATTGCCATCTGCATCCAGAACGCTTCATGGTGCAAAACTGAAACCCATGAACGAGGACCCCCAGCCCCTCCCAGCCCTGGCAGCCACGCTTCCACTCTGTCACATGACTGTGGCTGCCCCAGGTGATCCATGTGAGAGGAACCGTATTGTGTTGTCCTTGGCCCCTGAGTCATTCTGCTCTGCATAATGACCAGGTCCTTCCATGGCATGGCAAGGGGCAAAGGTGCTTCTAACCCTTTTCCAAACCAGCGATGTCCCGTCCAGGTCTGTGCCCACTTCCGTTGCGCTTACCCACTTCCCATTGTGCTTACCCACTTCCATTGTGCTTACCCACTTCCATTGTGCTTACCCACTTCCCATTGTGCTTACCCACTTCCGTTGCGCTTACCCACTTCCATTGTGCTTACCCACTTCCATTGTGCTTACCCACTTCCCATTGCGCTTACCCACTTAGCTGCTGCTGGCCATGTAGGCTGCTCCCATGTTTTGGCTGTTGGGAACAGCACTGCTGTAACAGGCAGCATCCAAATGCTCTTCCAGCCCCGGCTTCAGCTTGGTTGAATCTACACCCAGAAGTGGAGCAGCTGAGTCATGGGTTCTGCTGACAATCCTGAGGAACCACCATCCCATCTTCCACAGCGGCAGCACCGTTTCACGTCCCCCCAGGAGTTCCCTAGGGTTCCCCCACCGCACGGCCTCCTAGCAGTCGCCCTGTTTGTTTTTTGTAGAACCCATACTGTGGGTGCGAGGTGGCGCATCGGAATTCTTATTTGCATTTCCTTGATGGTCAGTGATGTTGGCCACCTTTTCCCCCGCTTGTTGGCCATTTGTATGACTTTTTCAAGAAATATCTACTGAAGTCCTTTGCTCATTTTTTTAATAAGTTCGTTTTTGTTGTTGAGTTTTGGGAGTTCTTCATATATTCTGGATATTAATCCTTATCAAATATGATTTACAGATCTTGTCTTCCATCCTCTGGAATCCCTTTTCACTCTGTTGATAGTGTCTTTCAATCACAAAAACTTCAAATTTTCGTGAAATCCAATTTATCATTTTTTTTCTTTTGTTCCCTGTACCTCTGATGTCAGATCCAAAAAATCCTTACCAAATCCAATGCCATGAGTTTAGAGCACCATGCTTTCTCTTAAGAGTTTTGTAGTTTTAGGTTTTCTCATATTAGGTCACGTTTTGAATTTATTTTGTGTATACTATTAGGTAAGGATCTAACGTCATCACTTACATGTGGATGTATAGTTTTCTTAGACCATTTGCTGAAAAGACTGCCTTTCCCCCAGTGAATGATCTTGGAACTCTAGTTGGAAATCTTCAAGCATGTATGCTAGTTGGGCTAACTTGTGGGCTCTGTCCTACAGAGGACCATATGTCCATGTCTTTATGCCAGTACTGTACTGTGCTGATTACTGTACCTTTGTAGTAAGTTTTGAAGTCAGGAAATATGAGTCCTCTGTCTGACTTTGGTGTCAGGCAATACTGGCCTCACAAAATGAGGTAGGCAGTACCCTGTCCTTTTCAAGTTTTGTGGAAAGTTTGAGAGGGGCTGGTGCTAATTTTCCTTTAGATGTTTGGTAGAATTCTAAGTAAGGCTCTCAGGTGCAGTGATTTTCTTTTTCAAGAGAGTTTTGGTTACTGATTCCATCTCTCTCTCTCTCTCTCTCTGTCTCCCTCTCCCTCGACAGGGTCCCACGGTGCAGTTCAGACTGGCCTTGAGCTCACTTTGTAGCCCAGGCTGGTATCGAACTCACAGCGATCCTCCTGCTCAGCCTCCCAAGTGCTGGGATTACAGGAGTGTACCACCACACCTGGCTTTTTGTGTGTGTGTGTGTGTGTGTGTGTGGTCTAGTCTTGGTAAGTTTTATGTTTCTAGGAATTTCTCCATTTCCTTTAGGTCTTCTAACAGCATAAAATGTGCTCACAATACCCTCTTATGATACTTTCTATTTCTACAGAATTAATGAGAGGATCCCCACTGCCATATATGGTTTTAAGTAATTTGAGTCTTTTCTTTTTTTTTAGTTCACCTAATTAAACATTTGTAAAATCTTGCTGATTTTTTTTTTCAAAAAATCAACTTTGGGTTTAATTGATGTTCTCTATTATTTTTTTCTATTTTGTTACTTCTGTCTTTGGTTGCAGTTTGTTTTTTTCCCAGTTCCTTCAGTTCAAAGTTAGGTTGTTGATTTTAGCTATTTCTTGGTGTGTGTGTGTGTGTGTGTGTGTGTGTGTGTGTGTGTGTGTGTTTTCTGGTACAGGGGATTGAACCTAAAGCTCTTTTTATTTTTTGAGGGTCTCACTAAGTCACCAAATTGCTCAGGCTGGGTTTGAATTTGTGATTCTCCAACCTCAGGTCCCAGGTACAGAGATTATAGGTGTATGCCACCATGCCCAGTTCCTGTGTTGTTTTTAATGTTAACATTTATAACTAAATGTTTCCCGCTTGGCACTGTTTTCACTGTATAGTACAAGTTTTGGAAATTTTTGTTTAATTTTTATTTATTTCTAACTTTTTCTAACTTTCTTTGTGGTTTCTTCTTTGACCTACTGGTTACTTATGAGTGTTGTTTAATTTCCACACATTTGTGATTTTGATTTCTAACTTCACTGTATTGGAGTCTGAGACGCTTTTTAGGCTCTGCCTCTTTAAACCTGTTGCCCCTCCCGGTCTGCTTAAAAGGTGCCTTTTTCTACCTTCATTTTCTATTTCTCCTTTTGGAAACCACACACAGTATGTTCTAAAGCAGCTACATGTACAGAGGAAGCCAGCATGTCACTGCACCTGCTCAGGGAAGGTGCAGACTCAGGTAACACCCAAGGACCCTGGGCACAGAGACACCCCACAACAATCACAGATGAAACAAACGGCAGCAGTGCCAGGGTTGGAGAGGTTCTAATTTCCAAGTGTCAACAAAATATCATAAGGCACCTGCAGTATAGAAATAACCATGAGATACCATCTGTGAAGAAGGCCAGATGGTAGATCTAGACAAAGATGTTAAAACAACTGTTTTAAAGATGCTCAAACAAGAGAAGGAAGATGTGAAGAAAGGTGAGAAAATAGCGTGTGAAAAAGCAATGAAAAGCCAGAAAGAAGATCTGGAGCTGGAAAGTTCCCTTGAGGAAATCAAAGGTGCTTTAAACAGGGTAAAGAAAGAATCAGTGAACTTAAAGCCATGGCAGTGGAAAGTACTGAGGCTCAGGAACAGAAAAAAAAAGGCTAGAGAAAAGTGAGCAGAGTGAGGGGCTTTGGTCCCAAGAAGCACCATGAAGATGCCTGATGTGAACACTGTAGGAATCCTACAGGTGAGAAGGCAGAAGGGCAAAGAGTATGTGAAGAAATAATGGCTGAAAGAAAACGTCACAAATCTGATGAAAGACATGAATATAAACATCCAAGAATCTCATGAACTCCAAGCAGGGAGAATTCAGAGGCCCCTACTGAGACAGTATAACCAAACTCTAAAGGCAAAGAATTTTATAGGCAGCAAGTTTGAGGTTTGTATAACTCATTATATACAGACTTCACAATAAGACAGCAGCAGATTTCTTATCAAAGTTCAGAGGCCAGAGGGCAGTGGACTGGCATGTTCAAACTGTCAACCACAAGCCCTATATCCAGCAAAACTGTCCCTTAAAACTAAGGAAAAAACTTAAGGCATTTCCAGATCAACAGAAGTGGGGAAGGAAGGAAGGAAGGGAAGCAGGGAAGGAAGGAAGGAAGGAAGGAAGGAAGGAAGGAAGGAAGGAAGGGAGGAAGGAAGGAAGGAAGGGAAAAGAGCTTATCAGCATTAGATCTGCCCTGCAGGAAATGCTAGTGGGAACCTTGAAGATTGAAATGAAGGATGTTAGATCAGCATCAAAGTCGCATGAAGGAATAAGGATCTCAGTAAAGGTAAATACACAGGCAAATACAAAAGCTAGTATCATCATAGCAATGGAGTGTAACTCCAGTTTTATTTTCTGTATGATTTTTTTTTTTTTGTACCGGGAATTGAACTCAGGACCTTGTGCTTGCCAGGCAGGCACTTATGCCACTGAGCTATATCCCCGGCCTTATTTTCTGTATGATTTTTAAATCATGCTCTTTTAAAAAAATCAGTCTAAAAGCTAATATTATTATAACTATGATTTATAATTTCACATTTTATTTGCTACATAATTTCAGAAACTAATCCATTAAAAATAGTTATGATACAATATGTGGTCAGCCCCCCAAAACTGGGCTGCACATCCACAAATTTAATCAACTGCAGACTGAAAATATTTGAAAAGGAATTTTGGCCCTACTGACACGTATGGAACTTTCTTTCCTTGTCACTGTCCCCTAAACACTGCAGTATAACAACTATTTGCATAGCTTTTGCCCTGTGCTAGGCATTGAAAGCAACGTAGATATTATTTAAAGTAAAGGGAAGATAAGCATAGGTTAGATACAAATACCACACCATTTATAGAAGAGACTTGAGCTTGGGATTCTAGTATCCACAAGAGGTTTGGAACCAACCCCATTATTATCTGACTGAGGGACAACCGTATGGAGATGTAATTTTGTGACATTAATAAATGAAAAGGCTGGGGACAGAGCCATTCAAAGAGCAGCTTTTGTACATTATTGAAGTGAAGTTGGCCTAAATTCAGGTGTTTTAATTTCAGGATGTTAAGTGTTATACCCATGGTAAGCACAAAGAAAATGAACAATACATGAAAAGGAAATAAGAGGATTTAAATAATTTGCTACTAAAAATCAAACACAAAAGAAGACAGTAATACAGAAATCTAGGGACACAAAGCTATAAGCTATAACAGATGTGAAGTAACAGTCTTTTTCATCAGTAATTATGCTAAAGGTAAATGGGCTAGATTCTCCAAGCAAAAGAAAGAGACTGTCAGACTGGATTCAAAATACTATAATCCAACTTTTTGTTGTATATAAGAGACTGGCTTTAGATCCAAAGGCACAAATAGGTTGATAGTGAAAAGATGGAAAAAGATACTTCACTGAGTAGCAGAGAAAGCACACGTAGCTGTGCTATCTAAACAGGTTGCAAGAGACAAAGAAGAAAATTAAATATTAATAAAATTCTCAATGAGAGAAGATATGACAGTTTTAAAAATATGTCCATATAATTACACACCCTCAAAATCCCTATAACTTAAGAAAATGAGAAGCCGACTGCACACTGGGAGAGGGGCTGCCCAGCTCCTCGTCTCATCCTCCCTACTGCTGCCTTGGCGTTTAGGAGGGCTCCCCAAGGTGGCACTGGCCCTGGGTCTCACACAGGGCGAGAAAGTTCCCTATCTCGGCTTCCTGGACGGTTAACACCTCACAGCCCTGTTTTCTCACCTCTCTTCTTGCACTTTTCTCAGCTGCTCTCACTTATTCCTGCAGGAGGAACCTAGGTTGATTTTGCCAACTCTTACCAACAAAAATCGTTCTTGGAGATTTTAATTGAAATTGCATGCAACTGTAGACAAGTTAGAAATAGCTGATGTTCTAATACCTGTTAAGCAAGTTAGACGATTTACCCAAGACGAGCTCTGTCCTCTGGGCTGTGGGGAAAGCTTAGTTTTTCCCTAAGTCTCGTGCACTCGTTAACTTTGTTCCCTGGGTTTGTTTTGTTTTTTCTTGCTGACATAAACAGTATTTTTTCCATAGCATTTTCTAATCACTTGTGACTGACAGAAAAGAACCAGCAGCTTTCTGTATAATCTCACAAGTCGCTGGGTCGGGAGGTTGGGAGGGCTCTGCTGGCTGCACTGGCCCTGGATCTTTCATGGGCAGTGGAGATCCTGACTGAGGCGACTAGGAGGCTGACTGGGGCTGAAGGGTCTGCTGCCAGTTCGGCGCCCACCCTGCTGTCCATGTGATGCGGCAGTTGGCCTCCCCCTTAGCAAGCCGTGCTAGAGACAGCCAGGTGGTGTGGAAACCACACTCCATCCTCATGCACAGGCCGGATGGCAAGAGGTGTGAGAGGACACGGCTGGCACCTGCCTCAGCACCCACGTGGGCTCCCTGGGGCACCTCCTGCACTTTGTTCTGAGGTATCTCCCTTTGCAGATGTTCTAGAATTTTTACACCGGGAATCAGCTCCCCCCACCCCTCACGTGGCCTCACTTCCTTAGCTCCCTTCGCCTGGCAGGTACAGGCCCCCCATCCTTGGCTGGCAGCCCTGTCACCCTGGCACTTCTGAGGCCACCTGTCTCCTGTCCGCACACTTCCAGGTGTGCGGTCTGCCCTCACTGGTTTCTCCGTCTCCTTCGCTGTCTCTTCCGAGCTCTCCGATACTTTTCCTTATCGTCGGTCGCATTCAGTACCAAACCTGTGGCTCCCTGGCTCCACTGCCCTCTCCAGCCAATGCCCTATCTGGGTTTGTTTTAAACCTTTTTTAAATTCTTTTTTAAAAGAGAATAAAAAATAATTTTAAAAACCCCTTAGAAACGATACAGAGCTTCACTAAACAAGATAATAGGAATTCAACAATGGTTGTTATATTGCATATTGTTGTCTTCAGATTAGTTGTTCAGATTACCAGATAAAAGCATGCAAACTTGGTCAAAAATATTTTAAAGAAAAAGAATTTAAGCATTAACTGTTCCTTTCAACAAACCAATAGAAATCAGCAGTACAATTATCCTGTGTGGATAGCTTTCTTTCTCTTCTCTTTCCCTCATCTCAGTTGCTCTTTCCTTTTGAGCAGTTTCCTTCCCTTTCACAGTATCTGTTGTACCTTTCAGATTTTACTTACTCTTTCTTACACTAGAGAGACAGTACGATGCTTACACATCTAAAGCCCTTTAACACCTGTGCTCTGGAGGGGCCTCCTTTGCTTTCGGCAGCTTCCCAGGGGTTCAAGTTGGGAAGAGTTCTGTGCAGCCTGCATTCCTGCCCCAGAGTCCTCTCTGCCAGTCTCTTTGCGCTCAGTGAGGGCAGGCAAAGGCCGTGGACAGTGGGACACCAACTCTGACACATGTCCTTCCCCCCCCACCGCGTCCACACAGGACGTATCCCGGCAGCCCCCCTGCAGGCTGCTGCTAGGATGGAGCCCTGGGTCACGGCCTTTGCTAGCCCAAGGGACGTGTGCGCAGAAAGCAGGGTGGTGCTGGCTCCGTATCCCATGACAGTGGGTGTTTCCAACAACTCCTGTGCTCTTTCAAACCCGTGGCTGCCTGCACTGTTCTAGGGTCCCCAGGCCACATGACCCAGCCAGGAGGGACAGCAAGGCCAGCTCTGGGCCTGTGCAGGGGGCCTCCCCAGGCATCATGCCAGAGCCCAGGCCATACCACAGGCTCATTGGGACTTGATTGGCAGTATCTTGATGCAAAACTGTGCTAGTAATAACTAGGTCTGGACAGCCCTGACCTCCCTCTGTCCTCACCAATGTCCCCAGTGAAGGAGACCAGGCCTAAGGGCATGGCCCTGGCCAAGGTCACACACAAAGACTAGGAGCCACCGGGTAGAAAAAGTCTTCCTCTGTCCTCCTGCTTCTGGTGCAAATGGGTGGGAGTGTGGGTGTGAAGACAGCCCTGGGCTGCTACCCCACTTCCCTGGGCCAGAACTGAGCCCAGTTGGGCTCACTGTGGTGGGCAGCCCCTCTGAGGGTTGGAGGGGTGGGGCACAGTCCAGGGGCAGCAACACCATGCACCAGGCCCCTGCCTCCTGCAAGCTAGCCAGGCCCCCTGCATAGTGGGGTGGTGGTGCCTCTGTGGCGCTGCCTGCAGTGCCTCCTCCCTTGCAGGACTGAGGCTCAAGGTGACTGCCACGATGCTGCGGGGCCCCTTCTCAGCGCTGCTGCTTGGGGGGCTGCTGGGGGCCCTCCATGCCCAGCAGCAAGAGCTCATCTCACCTGACACCATGACCTCCGAGAGGACCAACAGCTGCCCAGGTACCGGGGCTCGGGCGGGGGTGGCTGGGTGGGGAAGGGAGCCTGCTAGACAGGCCCTGACACCCGGTGTCCTCAGAGAAGACCGACTGCCCTGTCAACGTGTACTTCGTGCTGGACACCTCGGAGAGCGTGGCCATGCAGTCGCCCACCGACAGCCTGCTCTACCACATGCAGCAGTTCGTCCCACAGCTCATCAGCCAGCTGCAGAACGAGCTCTACCTGGACCAGGTGGCACTCAGCTGGCGCTACGGCGGGCTGCACTTCTCTGACGAGGTGCAAGTGTTCAGCCCACCGGGCAGTGACCGAGCCTCCTTCACCAAGAGCCTGCAGGGCATCAGCTCCATTCGCCGGGGAACCTTCACCGACTGCGCGTTGGCCAACATGACTCAGGAGATCCGCCGGTCGGGGGCACGTGGCGTCAACTTCGCTGTGGTCATCACTGATGGCCACGTCACGGGCAGCCCATGCGGCGGCATCAAGCTGCAGGCCGAGCGGGCCCGAGACGAGGGCATCCGGCTCTTCGCGGTGGCGCCAAACCAGAACCTGAACGAGCAGGGCCTGCGGGACATCGCCAGCGCCCCGCACGAGCTCTACCGCAGCAACTACACCACCATGCGGCCGGAGTCCACTGAGATCGACCAGGACACCATCAACCGCATCATCAAGGTCATGGTGAGCAGTGGGCCTTGCGGGGAGGATGGGCGAGACCCCATCAGGCTGGGTGACCACAGAAACCCAGGCTATCGCTGACCAAGGCCCTCTCTGTCTTGCCCTGTCTTTCCGCAGAAACACGAAGCCTATGGAGAGGTGAGTGGCGCTTCCCTCTCCCACCCACACTGGCCTGCTGCCTGTGGCCTCCAAGGACCCCACAAAGCACCACTCTGGGCTCTGGCCCTCGGAGGCTGCAGCTTCGTGTGGAGGGGAGGGAGCAAAACCATCTGCTCTGTGTTGGGCCCAAATCTCAGGGCTTGGACACAGGCTCCCACCCAACCCAGGCTGCTTGGATCAGAGCCAGGTCACCCTTGAGTGCAGGAGTTGAGGATCCTGGCTCTGGTGGGAGGCTAAGTCCAGCCCAGGCTGGGTCAGGCAGCGGCAGTACACACCCTCAGACGTCTGTGACACTCTGTGTGCCATGTGCCAGCTCTGGCTCCCAGGGAAGGAGAGCAGGAGCCTGAGGGCCCCACCCAGTGTGGACCCGGTGCTCATGGCTCAGGTTTCAGCCCTGTCCAGAACAGCACCTGGTCAGCACCAGTTGCTGTGTCCTCCTCACTACAATCTGTGAGACAGGAAGGCCCCACCTGCTAGGGGCCCACGTATCTGCCCCTTCATTCTGGTGCCCCGGCTTGACGGGCACTTTGGGGCCCCTCTGAGAGTCCCAGCCACACGTGTCCCGAACCTGTATCCTGCCGGGGAGCCTTCCCACCAGCCTGAGCTGCTGTCCCTCCACTGTCCCTTCTCATTTCAGTGCTACAAGGTGAGCTGCCTGGAGATCCCGGGACCACCTGGGCCCAAGGGCTACCGTGGACAGAAGGTGAGACCCCAGCCACCCTGCACCTCATGTCTGAGGCCAGCTGAGCCTCTCTCACACGTGCCACCCTGAGAAACCGAGGCTCAGATCTGCCCACACCCATTTAAACATTTTGAGAAAAGTAAGACTTTATTTTAAAATTTAAGCCTTACCATTAAAACACTTGTCAAGCAAGCAAGCACACTCAGGTAGGTGTAACACAAGACATGTTACTGGGGACACGGCTGCGGAGTTGCGGAACCTGCTTTGAATGGTCCCCTGCGTTCCTAACATCAGAGGTGTATGGAACAGGACCCTTCCAGACTCCACTCCCAGAGAGTTTGAAACCCCGACCATTCCTGTCTGTTAGAAACTGCAAGGCAGAGGCAGGAGAATTCTGCAGCGACACAGGACCAAGCATTGAAAGTAACTCTCAAGGAAGTTGCTGCTTTCTTTCCAAACATGGTGACGGCGTCTAGACTAGCAGGGGTCTGAAGAGACATCACCAGGCCACCGGCCAGACCTGCCACCATCCTCCCGGTTTCTCTGATCCTGGCAGCAAAGCCCATCCTGCCACAGCCAGGAGTGAAATCACCACTGGGCAGCCTGGCAGCCCACAGCATGGTGGCGGCCAGGGCCTGCAGGAGGGCACTATTGGGGCACTCGGAGCCGCCGTGCTCAGCTCCCCCTTCGCGCCTCAAGTCTTCCCTGCTCCTCTGCCTCTCAGCACCTGGACAAGAAGCACGTTAATAAGTGGGTGCAGTCATCAGTAAACTCCTTTCCAGGGCATGCAGCTTTCATATGGCTTCCTGAAGCCCTGACCTGTGTGCAGTTACTGGGGTCCCTACCCCATTCAGAGGTAGTAATGTCACCATGAATGCCATGGTGCTGGGGACAGTCAGAGCCCTGCAGTTGTAGCCATGGATACAGAAGGGTGCCTTTTACAGGTGGTTTCCCAGAGAATTTGCTGGGCTCAGAGAAGAGTCCAGAGGCTGGGACTTCAGGGGTGGTTGACTGACTCCACGATCTGGAGGCCAGTGGCCCTCGACCTACCACTCAGGGGAGCCAGTGGGTCTCCATTGCCCGTCCTTCCACCATCCCTCAGTTTATCCTTTTCCCTGCCGTCTGCTTTTAGGGTGCTAAGGGCAACATGGGCGAGCCAGGAGAGCCCGGACAGAAGGGGCGACAGGTAAGCATTCCCACCCCATACCCCCAACCACCCTCCCACACCCCAGAGCTGGGGCTCCATCCAAGCCTATGTTCTTTCACAGGGAGACCCCGGCATCGAAGGCCCCATCGGATTCCCAGGACCCAAGGTGAACCCCACTGGGTGGCAGGGGTCCTGATTCAGGGGACCTGGTGCTATTTGTGGTAGGCTCCCCCATCCCAAAGATTACCCCAAAACTGTGTGTCCATCCAACCCCTCGTCCAGCCTGTGTTCGGAGCCTGCATGCAGTTTCCAGGCGACAGACATGGGACCCCGCCCACCTCATGTTCTCATCCTGTCATCCCGGTCTTCCCTGTCCTCCCAGCCCTACCCCCGGACCCCAGGGTGCCTCTGTGACCCCTGCCCTTCCTTCTGCCCTAGGGTGTGCCTGGCTTCAAAGGAGAGAAGGTAAGTGTAGATGGCAGAATCAGAAGCAGATCCTGCTTTAGCCCACTGGGCTGTCCTAGGTCCCGGGCAGGTGGGGTCTGGGGTGGTCAAACGCAGTTCCCCCAGCTTCCTGCTGACCCAAGGGCTCACACCTTGGCCCAGAGCCAGTGGTGTCCAATGCCGGGAGCTCAGCTCATGCCTGCTTTCCCCCTACGCAGGGAGAATTTGGAGCCGACGGAAGGAAGGTAAGCAAGTGACGCCCACCTCCCTGCTGCTAAGGAGACCAGGATCAGCGCTCACGACCCCTCTAATGTCCTTTCCAGGGAGCCCCCGGACTGGCAGGCAAGAATGGGACCGATGGACAGAAGGTAGGGTGAATCTCAGCCTGGTGCTTCCCTGGCCACACACGCGCACACACACGCACAGGTACACAAACACTCATACGCACACTCATGCACACTCTTGCACGGGCGCACTGTGCCCCGGCCGCGTTCCCAGGAAGCACCTCCATGGAGGTCAAACGGGACAGCTCTTAGGATGTCTCCCTCAGCCCTGTATCATGGCCAGCCGTGCCTGCTCTCCCTCCTTGGACCCAGAACCGCTGACCTCTCCTCTGCCCCTTCCTCCTTCAGGGCAAGCTGGGCCGCATCGGACCCCCAGGCTGCAAGGGAGATCCCGGAGACCGGGTGAGGATTCCGGGTTCCTGGAGACTGACTGAGGGTTCTGGGGCACCTGGCTCCTCCCTTCCGGCCAGCCCCGCCCTGCTCATCCCTGGCCATAGCCCTCAGGCACTTCCACCTGGCTGGCGTTTCTGTGGGTTGAGTGCTGTGGGCCTGCTCATCAGTGCCATCCTCGTGGGTGGGGGTCTCAAGGAGTCAGGGCCCATAGCGAGGTGGGAGACAGCCTGAGGCTCAGAGGACAGGCTTTGCTGACCCTGCACAGCCGTCTGCGGCCCTGGCCAACAGCACACCTCCCCTCCCCTCAGGGCCCTGACGGGTACCCAGGGGACGCCGGGAGCCCAGGCGAGCAAGGAGACCAAGGTGCCAAGGTAGGTGACGGAGAGGGAAGCCCACAAACAGCGCCTGACACACACGACGGTGCCGCCAGGATCCCCTGCGGGGAGTGCGCTGTCCCGAGGCTGGCAGCTCTGGCCTGGTTGCCTGAGACCCAGACCCAAGCCTACGCCCTGCGTGTCCCTGTCCCCTGTGCTCCTGGAGGGTTCAGAGCAACCTGTGCAGGCCCTGCCAGTGCCTGACGTCCTGGGTGCTCCGAGGATGGTGGGGCAGGCACAAGACCCCCAAGACTTGCCAGGTCCTGCCCCTCCCTGCAGAGGGTTGAGCTGATCTCTCCAAACTCTCACAGGGGGACGCTGGACGCCCAGGACGCAGGGGCCCCCCAGGAGACTCTGGGGAAAAAGGAAGCAAGGTGAGCCCCTTGGAAATGGCCACCCAGCCACCAACTGCTGTGCCTCCTGGGTGTGAGGACGGAAAGCCCAGCTGTGTGCCGAGCTCATGCAGCCCCTCTGTCCTCTGCTGCCAGCTGTCACGCACCCCAGGGCCTGAGAGTCCTTGCTGCCCACCTGCTCACAGTAGCTGTGCTGTTCCCTACCCCATACAGGGTTACCAAGGCAACAATGGAGCCCCTGGAAGTCCAGGTGTGAAAGGAGCCAAGGGCGGGCCTGGGCCCCGCGGACCCAAAGGCGAGCCTGTGAGTCCCTGCTCCCCACAGCCCCAGGCCCAGAGTCCGGAGCAGGCAGAGTCCCCTTCCGCCTCAGCCACCCTACTGCAAAGGGCACCAGGGCCAGCCACACCCTGCAGGGCCCCCCAGGTCTGAACTGGGGAGACATCCGACTCCCAGGCTGACCTGTGAGGAGACACAGCCCAAAAAGGTGTCCGTCCCCACCCAGCAGCGCCCCAGTCAAACACCAGCTCCCCAGAACTGCAGCCTGAGCAAGACCCCACGCCCCCTAAATCCTTGAGGGCCAGAGCCCACAGACGGGGGCCCCAGGCATGCAGAGTCAAAGCGGCCACCAACACGTCTGTCCCTGCAGGGGCGCAGAGGAGACCCTGGAACCAAGGGCAGCCCGGGCAGCGACGGCCCCAAGGGGGAGAAGGTGAGTCCCTCGGGAGGCAGCTTGGCCCGGGCCTCGTCTGTGTCTGCACTGTGGCCCCACCCTGGACGCACAGGCCTCAGCCCATCCACACCTGTCAGGAGAGCCAAACGCAGCGAGGCCGCCCCGCAGTGGGGGTGGGGGCTACTCCCAGCAGAGTCAGGAAAAGTGGGGTGCAGATAGGCAGGACTCTCACTCCCAACTCCTGGAGGATCCTGGAGGACACCCCCACGGTCCCACACAGGCCATGCACCCTGCCCCACCCCGAGGTCCCTGCCCCACACGCAAACTCTGGCAAATGATACTGATGGGCTCTTGGCGTGGGCCGCTCCGCGGGTCCCTAGAGACGGTGGGCCCTGTCCCGCCAAGATGCTCAGTGGAGCCAGGGCAGTGAGATGGGGGCACCCCGTTCCAGCATCTACCTGGACAACCAGTCAGACCCTACCTCACACACCCCACACTGTCCCCAGCTGTGACCTGACCCGGCTCTCTTCCCACAGGGGGACCCTGGCTCTGAGGGGCCCCGAGGCCTGGCTGGAGAGGTTGGCAGCAAAGGAGCCAAGGTACTAGAGGGTAGGGTGGGCAGGTGGGCAGGTGGGCAGGAGGCCAGGCCTGTGCCCCACCCTGCCTGCAGGCCCCGCCAGGCCCTGTGGTCAGGGCTCAGGCGGTGCCAGGCCCAGAACCCCCCAAGCAGCAGAGCCTGGGCTGTGCCCCAGACCCAGCCTCTAGATCTCTGATACCACAGAGGACCCAGCCTGACCCCTTCTTTTGCAGGGAGACCGGGGGCTGCCTGGACCCAGAGGCCCCCAGGGGATACTTGGGGAACCTGGGACGCAGGTCAGTGTCAGGCACCCCATCTGCACTCCACCCCACTCCACGGGATCCTGGGCTCTGTCTGTGGCCAGCACTGCTGGCTGCTGGCAGCCGTCCCATGGCCATGGGCCAGAACCTGCCCCCCACAGGTCCCTCTCAGCTGGCCCCATTCCGAGGGCAGCACAGGGAGCTGGGACCATGTGGCCTGTGGGTCAGAGCTGGCCTGGGGTGGGCTGGAGACCCCTGGGTGCCCATCTATTCCTGTCACAGCAACTGTGCTGACCCCGTTTTTTTCCTGCCTCAGGGATCTCGGGGAGACCCTGGTGACGCGGGGCCCCGTGGAGACTCAGGACAGCCAGGCCCCAAGGTACAGCCTCCCCGGGCAGGGCCGGGGTGCAGGGCACTGGACAGTGACAGGGTGCCGCAGGGTGCAGCAGGGTCTTCGGGTACCGTTGCTTGCCTCTCAGCTCCAGCCCTGGGCTGGGGATGGGGCAGGGGAGTTTGGGGTGGCCTAAGCACCCCCCATGTGAGCTGCAGTGCCTGACCTGGCAGGCTCCACTCACAGCCCAGTGGTGCCAGTCCCGCACGCCCATCCCGTCCCAGCGCTGGCCAAGGTCCCCACCCCTCCCACGGTGCACTCCAGGTGACCGCGCCTCTTCCTGCAGGGAGACCCCGGCAGGCCTGGCTTCAGCTACCCCGGACCCCGAGGGACACCCGTGAGTCTGGGTCTGGGTCAGGGGCTGGGATGGGGCTGGACCTTGCCCTCAGTGGCCCTCGAGGCCTCCTCTGTTGGGTTCAGGGGGCTGTGGCAGGTCAGCGGCCACGGACAGGTTCCAGCCTCGGGGACAGTGTGCGGGGCACGGACAGTACCGCGGGGCCCCTGCTGAGGCAAGGGTGAGCCGAGTGTGGATGCTGATGGCTACCCCTGCTCCCTGGGGTCCCCCCCAGTCTGAAGCAAGCAAGTCTGACCTGCGTGTGTTTCCTAACAGGGAGAGAAAGGAGAGCCTGGCCCACCCGGCCCTGAGGTACGCCCTGCCTCTCCCCGCTCCGGGGGTGGGGTTCTGCATGCCGCACGCACAGTGGCCTCCACGGGTACATCCCTACCCCAGCCAGGTCCGCAGCCAGCTGGCCATGCATGGTGGCACCAGCCACAGCCAGGTCCCTCCTGACAAGGCATGGTCATGTCCCGGACAGGCTGGGTGGTCTCCTGGGACAGGCAGAGCCTGGAGACGGGCGCCCCACCCAGGCTAACGTGTGTATCCCTGCCACAGGGCAGCCGAGGAGACTTCGGCATGAAAGGAGCACCTGGGAGGAAAGGCGACAAGGGGGAGCCTGTGAGTGCCATGTTCACCCTGCAGCGGGGACCCAGACCTGAGCACAGCAGGGGCCTGCAGCTGACTGCACCCACCTGTGCCGAGTGCCAACCGGAACAGAAAGCGGCTCAGGCTCCTCCCAGCCCCATCCACCCTGCCCGCATCATCACCTCATGTCCCCTCGCCTGCACAGCCCAGGCCGGGCCAGGAGCCCAGCAGGCAGCACAGTGGATGGGCGGCCGCACGAGGGCTGGGTGGAGCACAGGCAGGGTGGACACGGGGTAGACAGACAGACAGGAGAGCCAGCAGTGAGTGCATAGGCAGATGAACAGGCAGAGACACGGGCGCTGGATGGTGGTGGGCACATGGGTGGGCAGATGGACGGGTGGAGGGACAGGTGAGAGTGGGTGGTGGCCTGGAGCATGAGGGACAGTGGCAAGTGGATGGTTGGGGTGAGAGCAGCCATGGCCCACCATGGCCAGGGTCCAGTCTGGGTCATCACCCGAGCTCCTCTGCACTCTGCGGGGCCCTTGCCTGCCCCAGGGGCAGAGCCTGGGTGTTCTTTAGCGGAGAGTAATGCCCACCTTGCCCAGAAGAAAGATGGGGCCACTTTTGGGGAGCAAGGACCCGCCAGGGCATTGCTGAGCCCACCTGCCCTCTCTTCCACAGGCCGACCCTGGTCCTGCGGGAGAACCGGGCCCTCGGGGGCCAAGAGGAGACCCAGGGCCCGAGGTAGGCCGGTCCCCATCCCTTGTGTCCAACCTGGGCTGGCCCTGGGCCAGTGCGCTCTGAGCAGTGGCCCCAGCCGTTCTCCTGCCTCATTGCTCTCCTTCCTGTAGGGTGAGCCTGGCCCCCCCGGAGACCCCGGCCTCACGGTAGGTGTCACAGGGTGACTCAGTGTGCTCATCTGTTCTGTTTTGTTTTGGGTTTTTGTGTTTGTTCGTTTGTTTTGTTTTGTTTTTCACCTTTATGAGACAGGGTCTCCCTATGTAGTCCAGGGTGGCCGTGAACTCACTCTGTAGCCAGGCTGGCCCAGAACTCACAGTGATCCTCCTGCCTCAGCCTTCCAAGTGCTGGGATTGCAGGCATGCACCACCTTGCCTGGCAGCATCCTTGTCTGGAAATGTCCTTCTTGCTCCTAAACACCAGGAATAAGGGCAGCAGCCAGGGGTGGTACGCAGGGTGAGGTCAAGGGTGAGGTCAGGGGTCATACCCAGCCACTTCCCTCTGTGGCCTCCATTTCACATGGGCGGAGACGTCACCATGCCCAGGGCCGGGGACTCTCCTGGGGACACTCCCCAGGACTGCCCATGCGCATGTTGCAGGAATGCGACGTCATGACCTACGTGCGGGAGACCTGCGGGTGCTGTGGTGAGTCCTCACCCGAGTCCCCGCCTCGCCCAGCCCCTCTTCTGGCCCCTGTCTCCCACCCACTGACCCTGCCGCCCCCCAGACTGCGAGAAGCGCTGTGGTGCCCTGGATGTGGTCTTCGTCATCGACAGCTCCGAGAGCATCGGCTACACCAACTTCACCCTGGAGAAGAACTTCGTCATCAACGTGGTCAACAGGCTGGGGGCCATTGCCAAGGACCCCAAGTCGGAGACGGGTCAGTGGGGGGGGTGTCCCTGGCAGCATCTTGGCACACTGCACCACGAGGTCTGCACCGGCCTTGGCATGCCTCACGTGAGCGGCCCTTGCAGGGACGCGCGTGGGTGTGGTGCAGTACAGCCACGAGGGCACCTTCGAGGCCATCCAGCTGGACGACGAGCGCATCGACTCCCTGTCCAGCTTCAAGGAGGCCGTCAAGAACCTGGAGTGGATCGCGGGCGGCACCTGGACACCTTCTGCCCTCAAATTCGCCTACAACCAGCTCATCAAAGAGAGCCGGCGCCAGAAGACGAAAGTGTTTGCTGTGGTTATCACGGATGGGCGCCACGACCCCCGTGACGACGACCTCAACCTGCGGGCACTGTGTGACCGCGACGTCACAGTGACGGCCATTGGCATCGGTGACATGTTCCACGAGAGGCACGAGAGTGAGAACCTCTACTCCATCGCCTGTGACAAGCCACAGCAGGTGCGCAACATGACGCTCTTCTCCGACCTGGTGGCCGAGAAGTTCATCGACGACATGGAAGACGTGCTGTGCCCAGGTGAGCAGCGTCCCGTGCCAAAGAGAGGGGGTCCTCTGCCCCGGCTAGGGGGCTCAGTGCCCGAATGGGGGCCATGCCCAAGTGTGGGAAGGTCATCTGCCCAGATGGGGAGGTCCCCTGCCCAGGTGAAAGAGTGCCCTGTGCCCAGCTGAGGGCAGGACCTCTGCCCAGGTAAGAGGGGTCTTTGCCCAAGTGGGCATCAGGACCCAATGCTGACCACAGTGCAGGCCACTGGGTGGCCACCGAGGACCTGGTGGGCACTGATGGAGACCCTGGCCGCTCTGCTCTCTTCCAGACCCTCAGATCGTGTGCCCAGAGCTTCCCTGCCAAACAGGTAATGTGGCCTCCCCAAGACCCCACCCCAGGCTGGAGAGCAGCCCTGGCATCCTCCCTGCTAGCCTCCAGGGCCAGGGCTGAAGGGCTTGTGTGACCCAAGGCCGCATGCTGTAGAGACGCCCCTCCCTTGGAATTTGCAGCCCCAGAGCCCAGCACAGGCAGAGCCTGGTGCCAGGCCCAACCTGGCACCACAGGTGGCACTGCTGGCCTGGGCAGGGGTGGTCCTTGGCTGCTGCTGGGTTGGGAGGTGGGCGTTCTGCAGGGAGGGAGCCCTGCTCATGGCCTCAAAGTCTTCCCATGTGTTAGGCAGCCGTATCTTCTGGGCTTGCAGGATGAAATGGTTTATGTAAGACTTCTGAGGCAACCATGCCAAAAGCCACGCAGCTCCCAACCTCTTACTTTAACCCTGCCAGCAGCCTTCATATCTTGGCCCAAAGTGCCAGGCCGGAGGAGCGCCCAGGCCGGGGCTGGGAACGGCCGCATCTGTGCTCTATTGCGCCTCCCAGCTGCAAGCAGCTAAACACTAGGGCCCAAGAAGCTGGCCTTCCCAGGAGTACTGGGGGTACTGGGGACCCTGGGCTCCCCAGGGGTTGCTGTGTCGATGGTGGTATCCCTGGGCACAGGTGGTGCTCTTCAGGCTCTATGTGCAGGTGGGTGAGGTAGCGTGACAGGCCAGTCCTGTCACCCTGGGCTGTGCCTGGGCAGCTGCCCACGTAAATCTCGGCGACAGCCACATGGACCTGGTCTCTGCCAGAGGTGGGGTCTGGGGCTGCACTGAGAGCCTTGGTGGGATCCCAGGGGAGTGAGCTTCCACAGGGGGTGCCTGGCCGTGACACAGGTCTGATCCCAGCCTGGCCCTGCACACGGGGAGCAAATGCCACGCTCATCTCAGTCCCAAGAGCCGAAGCCAGCTCGCCCACAACCCAGTGTCCCCGCTTTGCTCCTGACCAGTCGGGGAGCCTTGTCTCTCAAGGGGGAAGGGCTCGGACCCAGCAGGCGCTCTCTGCCAGCATGGCGGGGCTGGCACACTGTCACAGCAGTGCCTGCTAGGTGCCAAGTGACTGCACGTGCTCCGAGTGCAGTTGTGAGTGTGCTTCGCCCTCTGTCTCCTTTTCTGTCGACGTTGGACCACGACCACGCTGGCCTCAGGCTGCAGTGGCCCAGGACCTGGACCGGGCAGGTTCCATGGGGTGCACCCCAGCACTGGGAGGGTGGTGGTGAAGGGGGCAGGGAGGAAACGGGGACCTCAGCCACTCTAGCCCCACAGCCACCCCTCCTGCCCCAGCCTCCACACCCCCCACTGCACTTGCCAAGTGCCCCTTCCTTTACGGCCGCGTGTGGCTCCAAGGTGAATTAGACCGGGCAACCTTGGGTTGCAAATGCTGTCCTGGGTGAGCAGCCTGGGCCACACCGCTCCGTCCACCCAGAAGCCGGGCCAGGGAGGACTCAGCCACGTTGGGGCTCCTGAGGGTGCCAGAGAAACAGGACAGGGAAAGGCTGCTATGGACCTGCACTCAGGAGGGGTCAGACGCAGGGAGCCCCAAGCGCACTGGGGGCCAGGGCCTGTGGGGCTGGGCTGCTCCAGCCGCTTCAGGGTTTGCTGATGACTGCTTCCAACCAGAGCCCGCCGAGTCAGGGCGGCAGAGAGGGAGCGGAGGGCCAGAGACCCTGTGGTGGGTTCAGTGCAGGGACTCGCTCTCAGCCGCTGCTTCTCCCCGGGCGGTGTTCCGAGGACGCAGCCTTGTGCTATGGAGGCAGGGGTGGCACATCTGGTCAGTCTGCCCAGAACTGCCCGCAAGGTCTCCAGTGGCCACAGGTGCCACCATTTCGAGGTCTCCTCCCTCGAACTGTCACTTGCTGCCAGCTCCCCACCACCACCTCCTGCCCGGCCACACACCTGCCACGCCCGCTGGAGCTCCTCACCGTGCCTGCCCAGAGCCCTCCCCGAGGTCCTCGCTCTGCCTCCTGGAGAGGCCAACGCGCCCGAGGCCCTAACGTCTTCTCTGGACGCCCCTTGCAGATGGATGGCGGCCTGGCGGCGAGCCCCCGGTCACCTTCCTCCGCACGGAAGAGGGACCAGACCCCACCTTCCCCAGGACCATCCCCCTGATCCAGCAGTTGCTAAATGCCACGGAGTTCACGCAGGACCCAGCCGCATACTCCCAGCTGGTGGCCGTGATGGTCTACACTGCCGAGCGGGCCAAGTTCGCCACGGGGGTCGAGCGAGAGGACTGGATGCAGCTATTCATCGACACCTTTAAGCTGGTGCACAGGGACATCACGGGGGACCCGGAGACCGCGCTGACGCTGTGCTGAGGCTGTGGGCTGCTGTGCAGAGCTTGTAGCTTGTAGCTTTCCAGGGCTACCGCATAACTGGGCTCTAAGATGCAGGAATTTGCCTTCCCACAGTCTGGACGCCCCTAGTCCCCATCTAAAGCCTTGAGGGCCATGCATCCCAGAGCTCCAGGGGAGGCTCCTCCCACCTCAGCCTTCCTGCCTCCCTGCGCCTCTCCATGGCCTCCTCTGTCTCTCTGGGACCCTCATCCATATAAGGACACCAGTCACTGGATTTGAAGCCCACCAACTCCAGGATGTCACCTCCCCAGATCCTTCGCTTAGGGCTAAGGTGGCGAAGTGCTTGCCTAGCACCACACAAGCAAAGTCTCAACTTAGCTCCCCACGCAGCCCTCATCACCAAAAGGGACCTGCACAGCTCCTTCAGTTGGATGTGGGCATCCGTAGGGGTCACCATGTCATCTGGCCACATGGCCCCTCTCCTGCCGAGCTGGACATGGGGGACCGCAGTGGAGGGCATGAAATCCCCCTGGCCCGGTTCTTGTTGAGCCCAGAGGCTGAAAGAGCCGGGTCCTGGGGCTGGGGATCGATACTGGGGGTGGTGACGTGTGTGCTCAAGGCACAGGGTTCTGTGTGAAGGTGCCTAGGGCTGGGTGACAGGGAGTCCTTATGACCTCCTGGCACCATAACCCCATTTGAACTGGTGTCACCTCTATTAGTCAAACACCCAGAGCTGCCCCCATCTGGGCATCTGCACCCCCAGCCTGGCTCCTGAATCAGTGGGGCGTCGTCAGGGAACACTCACCTGGCAGGACCTTCACTGCCCTTGGCTGCATGAGATAAGCATGGGGCGGGTTTCTCTCCTAGTGTGGGGACAGGTGGGGTGACCACAGCAAGGTCACCACCCCTGAGGCGAGCTCAGACGTGGGACACCTGAGCCAGAGGAGCACCCCCTACCTGGCTGGGCTTCTGTCCTTCCACCACTCATGTGGGGCCACAGGCAGGAGAAGGGAGCCCACAGAAGCGGGAGGCAGAGCCTGAGAACCCCAGTTCCCTGTCTGTCATGCGTCTCCGTCACTTCCCTGAAGGTGCTGCCCCACTGTATGTCCATCTCCGTGCCTGTGAGAACCACTGTGGATTGGGTCTTAGTTCAAGGGGCTCAGGGAGTGCTGCGGTCCCTGAGAACTTACTAGATGTGCTAAGCAAGTTCCAGCAGCAGTTTACACTAACTCAAGCTACGTCGTGAATAAGCTCGCGGAAGTGCCCGTCTGCAGCAGATGCTCTCCCGCTGGGGCGGGGCTGTCCTCAGGCACAGTGAACAAATGCTGAATGTTGTATAAAAGCTGAAACGTACAAAGGGAATGCATTGCTGTGCTCAAGTGGGCTTCTGGCAGGCTATACCCCGAGGACTCTGAAGCTAGGGGCACACAGCATCCTGGTGGTACTGCTAGGGTTAGGGCACTGTCCCTAATGGGATCCCCAGGAGCTGAAAGACCTGGGTTGTGATAGCACCCTCCCTTTTCCACCCTGAGGGACCCAGCTGTGTCCCTGGTGTGCAGACAGTTGGGCCCCAGTCCATGGTCTCTGAAAAGACATTTAGGTAAGGGCTTGGCCTCAGCCCTGGCTGCAGCCACACACTGTCCTTCCTGATCAGGGGTGGTGACTGTCCACACGGGAAAGGGTCCTCTTGTCACAGTGCATCTCAGCGGAGCCCACACCAGCTGCCTGGGCTCTGGCCATACTGTGCTTGCACACAGGAAACCCTTGCCAAGTGGGAAGGGATGCAGCTGTCATTGTGAGAGAAACATGGCCCAGCCAGCTGCAGGGCCTCAGGGCAGAGCAAACGGAGGCCTGGAGAGAGAAGAACAAGCCAGGGGCCTTTGAGAGGTCCTCTCTCTCACCCACCCAAAGGTGGCTCTTGTGCAGACAGCTGTGGACGGGGAGGGCCTGAAGGTGACTCCTCTGCCCAGGTCCCGGTTTGAGTCTGGGATCAGTTCTGGTGGGAGGACTCTCAGGGAGGCTGTGGCAGGCCTGGTGGATGAGGACACATTCCCACTGAGACCTAGCCAAGGGCCCCAGACCCATGGCATCCACCAAACACCCACCTGTGCCCACCTCACATCTCCCCCCGCAGAGCTGTACGTGGCGCAGTGCACACAGCGGCCCGTGGACGTCGTCTTCTTGCTGGATGGCTCCGAGCGGCTGGGTGAGCAGAACTTCCACAAGGCGCGGCGCTTCGTGGAGGAGGTGGCCCAGCGCCTGACTCTGGCGCGCAGGGACGACGACCCGCTCAATGCCCGGGTGGCACTGTTGCAGTTCGGGGGTTTGCAGGAGCAGCAGCTGGTCTTCCCGCTGACCGCCAACCTGACCGTCATCCAGGAGGCACTGGAGGATGCCCGCTACCTCAACTCCTTCTCGCATGTGGGTGCAGGTGTGGTACACGCCATCAACCAGGTGGTGCGTGGTTCACAAGCTGGGGCACGGCGCCACGCCGAGCTGTCCTTCGTGTTCCTCACCGATGGCGTCACCGGCAATGAGAGCCTGGAGGAGGCGGTGCACTCCATGCGCAAGCAGAACGTGGTACCCACCGTGGTGGCTGTGGGCGGTGATGTGGACATGGACGTGCTCACCAAGATCAGCCTGGGTGACAGGGCTGCCATCTTCCGCGAGAAGGACTTCGACAGCCTAGCGCAGCCCAGCTTCTTTGACAGGTTCATCCGCTGGATCTGTTAGCAACGCCTGCCCACTGTGCCTGTCACCACCCCATCCAAGGTGCTAACCAGACCTCAGTCCACCAGACTAGCCGGGCTGTGCACTGGGCCTCTCCGCCAGCGAGAGCCCTCCTCCCATTGAGGCCAAGACAGAGGACCCTGAGCCCAAGGCACAGCCCCTCCAGCTCCCTGGGGTCCCCTCCTGCCTCCCCATTGCCCACACCTGCCCTCAAGGCCCCATATCCCAGAGGCCCCCAGAGCCCCCTCCCTGGCTCTGCTCTCACTTAGCGCCTGCTTCCCTCACCCACCTACAACTCCTCTAAAAGGCTTCTACCGCCCCCATACCCGGCCTGGGCCCTGCCCTCACCTGACCCCTGAGGGCCACCTCAGCACCCCGTGCCCTGTACTCCACAGCCCAATAAAGGCTTTGAACCCGCAGGTGCCGCGGCACCTGTGTTTGTGCCAGTTGCACATGCAGCCTGGCTACACACCCACCTGGATTGATCACTGCCCTCCATCTCCCAGCCCTAACCCAGCCTCCCCGAGAGGGGCAGGGACCACAGCGAGGCACTGGTCCCCACACTTCCCAGGCTGTGAGCTCGGCACAGCCCCTGGGGGCCCTGGCTGGGAACACTGCTCTGGGCGGTCAGCTTCTGCAAACTCCAGGAGGCTCCGAGACGCTCTGCTCTGCGTCAGCTTAGGCCGCACAGATGTAAGACTGCTTGGCCTCCGGCACTCTCGTCTCCCAGTTCCGAGCCACAAGTCCCGCCTGGGGCGGTGGCGGGCAGCACTTCCCCGGGAGAACTTCCGGGAGCCTGTGCTGCCAGCTCCAGGCCCTGGGAGCTCTTGGCTTGCAACAGCACCATTGCTGACTTCACGGGGTGCTCTGCCTATCCACATTCCCCTGTTTGGGGGTTGTTTCTTCTTCCACAACAGTGGATAAATTTTTATTGAGCCATTTAGTTTACCACATGAGGTAAAAGGAGAAGCAGTTCTCCATAGCCAGTGTTTTACGCGGTGGTGGTCACGTATTTTAGGGTTTCGGTTTTCTGAGGGATGATGTCTCTCAGAAGCGAGGCTCGGGAGTCTTAACACTGAAGCCTTGAATTTTCCAATTGACTCGTCCCTTCTGAGAGCCACAAGCTTAACTCCCTAAGTTTCAAGGTCAAGTTTTGCCATTGTTGCTGTTTTTACAGCACCTGAAATGCAGTTACCCAGTCACCATCCCCTAATTCCACCTCAAAAATGAGTTTTGCTGTGGTGAAACTTCGGCGGTGGGCTGTGCTTTCTCTCCTAAGCCACACGGATCCTGTTCTTGCTGTCCTGTATTCATCCCAACAGTGCTGCGTCCACCCTCTGATAACTGCCCTCAAACTTAACTTTTCTCTGAGCTCATGTGAGCAGCAGGGCCAATCCCAGCCTGCAGTGCTCCTTTCCACCAGCGGTGAGCAACAGCCCCCTTCTGGAGAAAGCTGGCTTTGTCTGCCTTTTCCAGCTTAGCGTTTGTGAGTTTGGTGGACCCTCGTCCAGTCTCTGCACCCAGTTTCCTCAGAAATTAATCTAGACTGTAGTCCTACAGAAACGTTCCTTCTTGGGCAGTTGCCCCACAGCCCACACCTGCTCTGACTCAGCCATCACTGTCTTCCTCCCTGTTCACAAGGATACCAATCACCCTGGGCTAGGGCTCGCCATGCCCCAGTGTGTCCTCTGCATGCCTATTTCCAAATAAGCTCACATTCTGACATGCAAGACATGAACTTGGGCAGCCCTTCTTCCCACAGTGCTCTGTAGCACCTCGTCCATCCCCTCTTGGGTGTTACTACTATTCTACCTCTCTGCCATTGGACTGCACAGCTTGCAGCTAGAAGAATGCCCACTGTTCTGTTGCCCTCTTCCCCTTCATCCCTCCTCAGAAAAAATGAGAGACCTACGCATGCCCATAAGTCCCTACCACCCAAGTGTCTCGCCTACACCACCATCCTGTCACCAGAAACTTCCTGAGGAGGGGAAGGCAGAGGGACACAGTGCGCCCTCTACCCGTCAGAGCTCACCTCCCACAACCATGACCTAGATCTCTCTGAAGGGAAAGGACATCACTTTCTGTGATGCCAACCCCTGCATATGCACCTGAGATCCAGAGCGGGTGAGAAAGACAGTCCAAGAGAGGGGACTTCTGAAACCAGTGACGAGAAAGAAAGGTCCCACTCACCATTTGCTCACCAACATCCCTTCACCAGCTATTCCAGATGAGCAAATGCTACCAAGATCCCACAGCAATATGCCCTCACCTACATTCTCTCACAAACATCCTTACCAGCACGCCCACAGCATCATCCCAACATCAAAACTCACTGACATGCACCCAGCATCCCCTCACCAACATACCCACAACATTCCCACCAAAAAATCCACACACTGATGTGCACACCCAACTTTTCACCAATAACTTCTCACCAACATCACTCACAAAATCCCTTCACTGATGCACCAGAACATTCCTACACGTAAGCCCAGTCACTGACACACACACACACCATCTCACCAACATTTCCTCAAGAATATGCCTTTACCAACACACTAAAATCCTACCAACAAAATCACACCAGTGTTCCCTTACAACTCCACTTTACCAACAACCCCACAATATGCCTTCACTAGCATCCCAAAAGAAACATCCCCTCACCAAAATGCTGTCACCGTCTTCACCTGTATGTGCTCATCAACATCCCTATTTTAGTGTCTCCACACAAATGCTCCCTCACCAGTGCTACCTCCTCAGTGTCACCTCACCAATGTCACCACACCAATATGCCCTCCTCAGCACTCCTTCCTCAAAAGTCTGTCTTCGACATTACCTCAACAACATCCCTTCACAGTAACCACACACCCAACATCCCTCTCTCAATGTCCTTACAAGTCCGCCTCCTCATCCTCTCCAACGTCCCCTCCTCAGCGTCCCTCACCAACATCTACTCAACAGTGTGCCTGGGCCAGCATCCCCTCACCATCTCTTAAACAACATCCAGTCAACAACAGCTTCCAACACCCAATACAAATGTCCCACCAGCGTTCCCTCACCAACATTCCTCTTAGCATCCCCACACCAGTATCCCCTGCTGATATTCTCCTAAGCAATATCCCCTTACCAATGTCCCCTAAACAGTATCCTCTCACTCTCATACCCTTGATATCTTCATGAAGGCCCCAAACGAAAGACCTATCACCAGTGTCCCTTCAGAAGCATTCCCTCAGCAGTGTCCCCTCATCACTGTCCGCACCTCACTGATATGCCTACATCACCTCACAGTCCCCTCACCAACATTCCCTCACGGATATCCACTCACGAATAGCCACTCACCATGGGATCCCTCTCAAGGTACTCCCACCACCATCTCCTCACACACACCCCACACAAGTATCACCTCACTAACAACATCCCCTCACCATCTTGTCATCATCAATTCCACACCAATATGCCCTCGCCACACTCCCCTCACAAATGTCCCCTCACCGACATCCCAGCACCAACACCTCCTCATCAACATCCAGCAACCACATCATCTCACCAATCATCTTGATCAACATTTCCTTATTAATGTCCCTCACCAAATTCCCAACACCAACTTTGGTCCTTGATGTTCCCACATCAACATCTCCTCACCAACATGCCCTCAGTAGCAGCCTCTCCCCAGTATCCCCTGCCAGCATGCCTTTATCCACCTCCCTTCACAACTGTCTCCTTGCCAACCACTTCTAACCTTCCTTCCCTTACCAACATCCTTTCAGTAACATCTCCACACCAACATCCCCTCAACAATGTCTCCACTTCAAAGACCACACAAATGTTCCCAAACCAATGTCCCCTCTGAGATGTCCCCTCACCAATGTTCCTTCGACCTTGTCTCCTCCAAATGTCACCTGCCAGTGTTCTCACACCAGTGTCACCTCACCACTATCTTTCTTCAATGTGCCCTTACCATGTTCCTCAGCTCTTCATCCTCATTCCCTCACCATTATCCCCTCACAAATGTCCCTTCATCATCATCTTCTTACCAACAGTCCCACACAATGTCCTCACACCAGTGTCCTCTCACCAACGTCCCCTCCCCATAGTTATCTGAATATGCCCAAACCACAGTTCTCTCACTACTGTGGCCTTGCCACTGTCTCCTCACTCATGTCCCTCAGACCTCTGGTGTGGTGGCTGTGGGTCATCCGCCCCGGACCTTGCTCAGTGCTGGCCTAGGAAGAAGCCTGTGCCAGGCCACAGAAAGGCTCCCACAGGAACAGGTTAGGTGCTTCAGTAGCCCAGCTTCTTTGCACCCCCGCCTCAGGCTTTCCCCCACCACAGTACAGACAGCACCTATCTCACCTTCTTATGGGACCATCTCACCCATTACCCTTTCATAAAGATGACCCCATCTAACCACCCCAGTCGATGCGGAGGGAGGGCTCCCATGAGCTTTCATCAGTTCTGCAGCCTCCCAAGGCCCACCCACTTCTGGGTTACAGGGACGGAGACAGCAGCAGGCAGAGATGGGTTAGGGAGGCCATCCCAAGCGTGGTCCAGGGAGGGGCTGAGGGAAGCGTGCCAATTTTGTGGAGCTTCTGAGGGCAACTCAGATTCCTAGGGCAGGCGGGGTCCAGGCCAGGGCTGGGCATGGCTTCTACCATCAGAGCTCAGGATGAAGGTTTGAATGCCGAGTCTTCCTGGGGCTGCCTCTGAGCCCCTGTAGCCCCTGGGAGGCACCCCCCATGACCACTCCTAGAGGATCCCTGGGGCCAGGGGGTTTGGTGTTGCCCGCCTCTGTGCCCACTTCCCCTCCACTGCCTGCAGACACACCTTCTGCACAGGGCCAGGCCTGCCTGAGGGAGGTGCTACCCACAGGTCCTGAGCCTCAGACACTAGTCCTTCCCTTTTCAGAGACACCCTGCTGGCCTTTCTTAAAACCTGGGTCTGAACCCTCTAAATTAACATGGCCTGCTCCCCCTGGTATTTTCCAGTATGCATCCTACTAAAACAGCCTGATGAACCACAAAACCACCTCCCTCTGGTCCTCACAGAGGCCTTCAGCCCAGAAACTTCCAGGGCAAGGACACATGGAAGCCCCATGCAGGCCCAGCACCCCAGCCCCACAGCTGCCTGATGACACTGAGCTGGGACACCTGGAGAAAATGCCCCCAAAGGACGAGGGGCTGGTGGGTCTGCAGAGGTGGCCACAGCTACTGTGCAAGCCCCCACCCCGCAACCTCCGCCCTATGTACACCTGGCCCTGGGACCCAGAAAGAGGAGGAGACGTCACCCTTCCCGCAGGTCCCTCCACCCATGTGGCCACCACCTTCTTGCTCCGGACTCACGGCCCTGCAGCCCACATATGCAGCAGTGGACAAACGTGTGGTCACAGGCCCATAGCTGTCCAAAGACACAGCCTGAGGGAGGTCAGAGGCTGGGGCAGGGGCTGAGCCAAGATCCACAGCCACTGTGTCCAGGAGTCCCAAGGACATCATAAGAGTGGGGCCACCATGAGGATAGTGACAGCCTTGTGGGAGGAGTGGGAGGCTGTGAGGACCATGGCACCCCTGTGGGGATAGCAGGGGGGCCATGCTAGGCCTCTCTGAGCTGAGACTCCAGGGTAGTCCTAGCCGCAGCGTGGTGGGTTCCCAGAATGTTCCCCAGTGAGGACAGCTGCCCTGGGTGTGTGCAGAGGCTGAGACTCACCTTCCCAGCATGGAGCCACGTTGTGGGACCCCTGGTGATCAACACCACCAGGCCCTGGCCCCAGAACCCAGGGAAACTAGGCAGGCACAGACACTGTGGGGCCTCCCTGCCTGCCCAGGTGGCACCATGTGCCCCATGGGAACAACACACAGGGCCGAGGTCCAGGCTGGTGGCAGAGGCCATGGGGCCTGCAGTGTGAAGCTGGCCTGTGGGAGAGGGACAAGTGGGATCCCTTAGTCCCAAAATATCTGCCTTGTCATGGCCTGGAGGAAGAAGGCAGAGGACCAGGGGGAGCACAAGACCCAGGGAGCCTTCAAAGCAGTGGCAGTGGCATCTCAGACCTGACAGACCAACAGAGCTGGCCACTGGACGCCGTCATGAGAGCCCACTGCCTATGCCCCTTGCCCCACATGGGGCTGGGTCACTCCCGCCTGGGCGCTTCAGGAGGGTTTTGGACTGAGGTGGAACTCAGGCCACACCAGGGACACAGTAGCCTGGGGAGTTCCCTCGCTGAGCTAGCATGGCAGGGACACCTTGCACCCCTCCCCAAGGTCCCTGAGGAGAACAGGGTGACGAGGGCCTCAGTGTGCCACCTCACCAGCCCATCCCACACTCTGCTCCTCCAGGCAGCAAGGGATCCCTGGGACCAAGCACAAGATGCAAACCCTCAGCACAGTGAGTCCAAGACCACTAAGCTCCGTGGACCTCACCCCTCAGCTCCCTGAGCCTTGATGACCAGCCAAGGCAGAGCAGTTGGATCTCTCCCTGTCCGAAGGCTCATCTGTGACCCCATCCTCCCTGTGGCTCAGCCTTGTCCTCCATTCAGGTCACAGGGTCACCAAGTCTTGAGCAGGAATGAGGGGCAGGGACCCATGGCTCCACCATCTGCCCCCCAGCGTGGTCCTGATCACAGATTGCAGAAGCTGCCATCCCTTTCCGGCTGGCCCAGGAGTCCTGCTCTCCCCCAGCTGCAGGAACATGTCCCACAGCAGTGGCACCCACCAGGCCCCCATGCCTATGAGGACAGAGGCGCTGCCCAGCCCCAGAGAGATTCTGCTCCAGCCTGGCACCCTGGTGGCCCAACCCCATGGCCCTGCTCCTCTCTAGGAGCCAAAGTCTGGGAAAGGCCTGCAGTGTCCCCCTCAAGAGCTCACTGGCCCCACACCCAGGATTGGCCGTGGTGCCTGGAGACCCACACCTGGCTCAGAGTCATCCCTGAGGCAATGCTGCCAAGAACCAGGACAGCCTGGGCAGGGCAGAGGGTGGGGAGGTTGAGCTGGCTGGGCCCAGGTCCTGCAGCGGCCACCAGCTGCTGGGAGTGCACAGGTGTGAGCTGAGTGTAAGTCACCCAGCCCGGAGAGCCGAGGTTTGTATGTGGGTGCCCACAGGCCAGTCCATCCCCTCAAGTACCCCTGGGACCCAAGGGGGGATTCCCAAGGGGGAATTCTCGGCCTTCGTGAACCATGGCAGAGGTACAGCTGGCAACCCTTGGGACTGCAGGGGGTGGGGATCCCGGCCTTCCAGCTGGCCTTGTGCATGGGCACCTGCACCCATCCAGGACCAGGGCTGCTCATAGCTCCTGCCCCCAGTCTGACACGGAAGGCCCTGGGTGTCAATGCCTGTAGGATGTGTTTTCTTTTTCTTGCTACTTCCCTCAGGTGATGACATCCATTTTCAGAGCAAGAGTTCAAATTTTCAGACGGTAAGGCCTGTCCCTTGACACTTGGCCTTTTGCTATGTTCAAGCAGAACGAACACCAAGTAGTTATGTTTGTGGGGTGTGCATGGAGGAGCCAGCTGGGAGTGGTGAGCAGTGAGCTTTTAATCACCATGGCCACCACAGGACAGCTCAGGAGCACGCAGCGCTGTGAAGGCCACAAGGACCAATAGGGGCCAGCAGAGCCTCTGCACCTGTGTCCTGCACTCTTAGGGGGTTTCTATCCCAGCACAGGGGCCCTGGCACCTGCGTTGACCCTGGTGCCCACGGCCGCACCACAGCTGGGCACCCTCAGAGCTTCCCACCCTGTCCCTGCCCCAAGCCCAGTGCCTCATACACATCAGGTGTTCAGACTTTACTGGGGGCCACAGGCAACCATGGGTGACAAGCTGTCCCCACAGGGGACCCAGACAGGCCCTGCCCCAAGCCCCACCCTGTTCTCCGTTTACCTCCTCTGACACCAGAGGACAACCTCGGGCCCATCCTAACAGGTTGGACAGGAAGGTCCCCGCTGTTTGTCACTCTCGCCAGCCGTTATGCCTGCCGGGCCTCCAGGTTGTCCAGCACCTGCGCAGCCTGGGTCTTGGCTTCCTGCAGGAGGCTGGAGATGCGCTGGCGGGTCTGAGGGACACATTGAGATATGGGATCACCCTATCCCGAGACTGTGCAGCCCCCAGCCACACCGCACAGAGCCGGCCACTCACCTGGTCTCTGAACGCCTCATCAGCCATATCTTGGAGGTTGGTGAGCACGTTGAAGTACGCACCAAACACGCTTGTCTCCAAGGCTTTGGCTGCCACCTGCAGGGATGCCAGGAAGCCGAGCTGGCTCCCAGTGCACAGACACCAGAGCCCCCACCTCCCAGGAAGCTCACACTGGCCCAGCCCTAGGTCGACACCCCAGGGCCCATGGAGGGGCTGGGCCAGGGCACCCAGCAGCAACGTCAGACCCCAGGACCAGACCCTGGACACAGGTTCTTTCTTGTAAAGACCCTGCAGACTGTGTGGCCCTAGGGCGACCACAGGGCATAGAGTTGTAGCTCTGCCCCATGCTGTATCCTCCACACCAACAGGAGTGGCATCCATCTCTACCAGCTGTCTGGGGTCTTTTCTAGGGACACAGAGGGGACAAAGGGGAGCAGGAAGGACAGCGGGTCCACTGCTGCCAGGCAGTGTTCAACGCTGAACAAGATCTTCAGATGGATCCTCTTCCTGAAAGAGGGGCGGAGGCCACCCCTGGGGACCACAAAGTCCCAGTGTCCCAGGACCTGCAGGTCGGACCGGCAGGCCAGGTTCCCAAAGCAGGCCAGCTCCTGCAGTACTGGCCACAGCAGGGACACTCTCTCTGCCAGCGCCAGGGGCACTTCGACTGCCTGCTTCAGTCGCTCTTGCAGGGCAGCTGCACGTCTGAAAGAGAGAGGACAATGGGCTGGGCAAGGGGCAGGGCTTCACTCTGACCCCAGGCCTCCCGTCAGGGCCAAGCACACAGAGCCCCGTGGAACATGGGGACAGTCATTCAAGGTTCTTCCAGCAGGGCCACCCTGGTCACTGGCACCCACCTGTCCCCCTCCTCTGGTGTGTTTCTGGGCAGTTTCATCACCTCCTAACAGGAAAAAGACCACAACCATGGGTGAAAGATCAGCAGCTGTGTCCACGACCAAGCTTGAGGGACAGTGGTGGAAGACAGACTCCTGGGACAAAGAAGGGCAGCCGAGGGGCACACTGGCACCCCACACATCCAGGGCAAGCATTTGCCAGGGCTGCATGATGATGAGCACAGTCCAGGGCGCCAGGAAAAGAGCTCTGGGAATGGGCTTTGGTGAGGCTGTGTGGTGAATGGGCCTAGGCATCAGCTGCTGGAGGGAGGGCCACACTAGGTCAGAGACCACACAGGGGCAAGGAAAGAACAGTGACCAACACTCTCTGGGGCCATTGTTTCAGAGAAGACTGTGGGCCTGGATGGTACCCAATGTTCTGCCCAGATACTATCCCAAGCCTGAGGAACCCTAACCCCAAGTGCCAACACCAAGTTAATGTGACACAGACAACAGTGCTCAACCAAACTAGAGTCAAGTGAGCCAGACCGCAGAGAGCAATCACTGAGCACAGAGCAACCCTAACCCTAACCCTAACCCACCCAAACCCTAATCCAGCCTGGCTGTAACCCACCCTGGCCCTAATCCTAATCCTAACACTAACCCTAATCCTAATCCCAAACCTAAACCTAAACCTAGCCCTAACCTAACTAATAACCTAATCCCAACCCCAACCCCCAACTGCAGCCTTAACCCTAACCCTAACCCTAATCTTAACTATGACCCTAACCCTAACCAAACTTCAAACTCATTCCCAGCTGCAACCTGAACCTTAACCCTAACTCTATCTGCAACCTCAATCCTAACCCTAAACCTCATCATAATCCCTAACCCAAGCGTACTTGCTAACCCCAAACATAATCCTAGCATTAACCCAAATACACAATCCTAAACTTACCCTAACATCTGGCCATAACCCTAACCTCAAACCCAGCCCCAACCCGAACCCAGCCCCAATCCCAGCCCCCAACACTAACTATAACCATAATCCTGATCCTCACCCCAACTCCACTCATAACCAGAGTCTTAATCCTAACCCTAAGCCCAACCCCCAACCTAAAGCCAAACCCTAACCATAATCCTAACCCTATACGCAACGCTTACCATATTCATAATTCTAACTGAACCCCAATCCCTACCCCCACCCTAACCCACAGCAAGGGAGTCATTTCCAGATGGTGTTCTCGTTTCCTGCCCCATGTGGCTCCCTTGTCACTGTTAGGCTGACGGGCCCCTCCAATCTGCATCTGCTGGCCACCGTGTTCTTCCTCCAGGATTTTTGGGCTTCATCCAGCTTCTGACACGGTCTTCTTTTGGTCTCCTTCCTCCAGGTCTGGGGTCTGGGTTGCCAGCTCACCTCCTGGAGGCCCTAAGCCTCTCGTGGCCACAGCCTGCATGGGGTGGTCTGCACCACCCAACAGGCTCCTGGGCTGGAAGAGGGTAAGAGCCACAGCCTCTCCCAGACCCACCCGTCCCACCATCTCCCCGGACTCTGCTCACCAGGCAGGCAGCAAAGGCCTGGGCGTCAGCGTCCACCAGAGAGGCCAGCTGGGCCACTGCCTTGTGGAAGGGTGGGATCAGCTGCCGCATGGCCGCATCCAGGTGTTCGAAGCGGCGCCGCCCGTAGGTCATCTGGCCAGCCATGCAGGCCAGGGCTGCACCCTAGGAACAGGTGTGTGGGCTTTCCCGTCTTGGGGATGGGATGGGTCCCACACTTGCAGGTCCCTCCCTTTGGGGCCCCACCCACAGCTCCCTCCAACCCCAGGGTCGCTCCTAGCCCCCATCCTCACCATGGCACCAGCAGCTGCCGCCACTGAGCCACCACCTGGGGCCGCTGAGCGGGCGCCCACCTCACGGAAAAAGTCACGGAGGGACAAGTCCAGCAAGCTCTGCGCTGGGCCATCGGAGACTAAGTACCTGCGGGGCAGGGACTCAGCGGCAGGGACAGGGCTGGGACCCCATGAGGGTCTCACAGTGGCCCCCAGGCAGCAGACCTCAGAGAACAAGGAAGGGATGGAGGGGAGGGGAGGGGAGGGTTGAGAAAGGAGGGCGGGACTTTGGAAGGGGATGGCGATGGATAGCCACTTACTCAATGACACGCTCTTTGGGATTGAAGGGTGCCAGGGAGTCCAGGCCGAGCCTGCTGACCACCTGCCAAGCAGGCACCTGGTCTCAGCCCCCACCCGTGCATGCTAGGTCCCCCTCAGCTGCCCCAAATTCTGCCTTCTGGGGGACAAAGCAGGCTGCTGTGGCCCACCCCCCACCCCTCCGAGCCCTGCTGACCAGGCCCTGCCAGACTGGGATGCACGCACTTCCTGCAACCGCTGGAAACTGAAGCCAGAGACAGGGGCTACCCACTGTTCCCTGTGCCCCACACCCACTGAGACTCCAGTCCTAGCAGGTAGCAAGTTCTCAGTGTGGGAACAGCTTTGCCACCTGTCCTTAGAGTGGGAGGGATGGTGACCTTCACCCAGGTCCAAAAGAAAACTGTGACTCCCATTTGAGATTAGAACTCACTCCACCAAAACTCCAGCACTTCACAGAGCCCCGGGCCAGTAACGCCCACCCCCTGTGCCAGGGGCCCTTTCCTGGGAAGAGTAGAAGAGACGAGGTGCTGCCAGGCACAGCCTTCAGGGGCATGGAAACCGCAGGCCCCAGAGCTGGGCAGCAGAATCTTCAAGCGGTGAGGCGAGCTCTGCACAGACGTCTTGGGAAGGCGAAGAGAACACTCAAGATGAACTCAGCCCACCAGGCCACCAGCAGGTGGGTCTGGAGGCCACTAGCCCTGAGGCTGGGGTGCTGGCCCACTGCAGCCCCTCACAGGGGGAAAGGTCATAAGCCTTGGAGAATGGAGCCAGAGTGAGACCCCAAAAGGTGAGTAAGGAAGGCACCCTAGAGGAAGGAGCTGAGTGTCTCTGATCCTGCCTTCCCCTCGGGTGAGGTGGGGAAATCTCTCCTGGTAATTCCTGGTTCCAACAGAGTTCCCACGCTCAGAGCAAGCACTCAGCTCCCTCTGGCCCTGCCAAAGGCAGCAGGGACCCTTCAAGAGGGAAGAGCTAAACCTAGATGCCCGAGAACTGCCTCCGATGAAATTGAAAACACATACTTGGGATCAAAAACCACACAGCACAGGAAGAAAGGAGCAGTCACCGTGAGCCAGCCACAGCAGAAACAGCACTGTGCAAAAGCACCCACACGCACCCCAGACTCTCCCACACGGCCTACACTCAGTGCCCAGCACCCCCGGCACCCACCAGCCTGATCCGATGCTCCTCTTCCAACACAAACAGGTTCTCCCTGTGGCAGTAGAAGGCAGCAGCGTCCAGCAGGGCCTGCAGGGGCACCAGGCCCACCAGCTGCGAGCCCACCACGGGAAGGCTCAGCTCCTGCAAGCAGTGGTGTCAGTAGGGGCAGTGGAGTCCCAGGGGTGTAGGGCACAAGCGCCCACCCTGCCCACCTGTGCTTCCCTGCAGGTCTCCTCGAAGACCGTGTGCAGGCCCATGACCTCAAAGTCCAGGAGGTTCATGGACACCTGAGCCAGGTTCTTCTCTTCCAGGTACCAGCCGATGCCCTGCACCTTCTTCAGACGGCCTGGCTGCGGCGGAGGTGTGTGTTTTGGCCACTGCCTGACCCCACCCACCTCCCTGCAGCTGCTCCTGGATGCTGGGTGCTGAGAGCCTGCACCAGGCAAGTGTTGCTGCTCTCCTCACTCTGTCCCTCTCTTACCTTGGCTGGACAGGGAGGGGCCGGGAAAGGTCCCCCACAGGGAAGCTGAGGTCCCAAGGTCAGGTGCAGGAGTGACCACCCCTCTGGATCCCACACTCTGCCTATACCTCATCCTGAGGCCTGGGGACACTGATATGGGGTCAACGGAACCTGTCTTCTGTCTCACTGGTATGTATGTGGGGGCGTCTGACTTCACCTTTGAGGCTCTGAAGGTCATTTGCTTTTTCAGTGCTATGAACAATGGAGGTGAATGGTGATAAACTGGGAACCTGCACCTCAGGGGCCAGGTCTTGGGAGGAGACAGGCAGGCTGACAGGCAGTGGTGTCAGTAGGGGCAGTGGAGTCCCAGGGTTGTCCCAAGTTCCCAGCTCCTTTACCAGTGGTCTGTGTCAGCTACATGGGACATGGACTCTAATAGAGTGAGAGCCTTGCTGGTGGGGACTCTGAGGCACCAGGGGTCGTCCTGGACCGTGTGGGGACAGGGTGTTCCTGGGACCAGGAAACAGCTGTCCTGTGGCCCTGGAGAGGGCAGTCTCTAATCACAGCATGGCCCTTGTCACAACATAGAGTCCCCAACTTCCAGTGCCTGAACCCCAACCCTGTGACTCCAGGGCTTGGACTCCAAGGCAGGGCCCCTGCGGACAGCGCCTCCACCCCACTGTGGCCATCCCAGTCACCCTGGCCCTGGGACTGCAGGGTCCCGGGGACATGGGAGCCACTCACCTGCTCCTTTCCACGGCCTTGCTCCCGCAGGTTGAGGGCAATGCGGTGGGCCTGCTCCTTGGTGGCTAGCAGGTTGACATTGAAGGCAATGAGGAACTTCCGGGCCCCCGTGACAGTGGCCCCCCAGCTGGGGACGAAGGTGCTCGGGCCAAAATCAGGGGCCCACTCGGCCTGCTTGAGCTGTGGAGCAGCCGCCCAGGTGAGGAGGAGCCGGGACCCACCCCGCAAGGTGGCCGCCCCTCTTAGCCCAGCCCCGGCACCTTCTCAGGCAGCCCCTCGTACTCTCCTGTCCGGATGGCCGGCAGGGTGCGGCGACTGGCCGTCCGCGCTGCCTCACCATACAGGTACACTGCGGGGAGCCAGCAGTCAGGGGAGGTGGAGGCCCCACCCCCAGGGACCAGGCAGAGCCCCTCTCCAACTTCAAGCCAGGTGACCTACACCCCAACTCCTGGGCTTTAAGGGGTGGACAGTGCAGCCAGCCCCTGATGGACAGAACCAGGACACACATCTTCCCTGCCCTGGCACCTTGTGACACCCAGGACAAGGGGCAGCGTGGAGTGTGTGGGAAGTGCTGACAGGACACTTGCGCTCCCTTCTCCGATCATTCCGTGAGACAATCGGAGCCATGGGTGAAGGGACACAGCACACAGAGCTGGCCCACAGCCCATGCGCATGGCCCAACCCAGACACTGGCCAGGCTCCTGGGCCAGTCGTGCCACACACATAGGCCTACGCCAGCCATCTCCCAACGTCCGGGGGACGGACACACCCTGTCCCCAGTTCGGATGTTTGTTCCCAGTCTTTCTCTTGATTAGGTTCATTCCCCAAAATGACAGATATTTAACACCCTTTGATTCATCTCACTCCACTGCCCTACAGCAAGGTAAATGGTCCCTGCTGCCAGGTACCTCAGGACTGAGTGTGCAGGGCTGAGCTGCGTTAGGGTTTCTTACTGTGTTCATCCCATTACTAGGAACAACGAATTTCTTGCATTGTGCAGTTGTTCACTCGTGGTGTTTTTTTGTTGTTGTTTTGTTTTGTTTTACGGGTCTTTGCAGGGCCTATTTCTTCGGGGTTTTTTTTTGGTTTTTTAAATTTTTTCAGTATTGCAGGTTGAACCCAGGGCCTTGCACTGAGCTGCATCCCCTCCCCTGCTTTTTTTTTTGAGACAGGATCTTGCTAAGTTCCTAAATTACTCCTGGTGAGCCCAAATGCGCCCTCCTCTGTCTCAGCTCCCAGAATGCTGGGATTACAGGCATATGTTCTACACTTTCAAGGGGCTTCAAAGACAGAGCTGGGCATGCCAGGGGCAGCAAACCTTTGCAGGTGGCACTCAGGAAGCTAGAGCAGAACCCATCCCAGACACTCACCGGGCACGCTGAGCTCCTCCGCCAGCTGCTGGCCGAAGGCCTGGGCACAGCGCACGCAGTCCTCCATGCTGACACCCCTCACTGGGATAAAGGGGCAGACGTCCAGGGCGCCCATGCGAGGGTGCTCCCCTGCAGGGGGCAGGCAGTGTTCGATGGACATCCTGGCTGCCCACCTCACTGGCTCCACTGGCCACGGGGCAGTGGCCAGTTCCAGGAGCCTCCTGCAAAGGGGGCTCTGGCTGTCAGCCTTGAGGGACCAGAGGACATCACGCAGGCCCCGAGACTCAGAGCAGCAGTGGGGCCTCAGCAGTTTGGCACCTCAGGGGCAAACCAGTCTCTGTTTACGACAAGTCACAACTTCTCCAGCGTTCGGTTTGGAGCTCCCTCTCGGCAAATGCTGGCCAGGCAGCAGTGTGATCTTGGCCAGGCTCCACGCTTAGCCCTGGTCCACTCAGCACCCCTCTGTCCGCAGGGGTAGACAGAGCCGTGCATCCGAACCCTGACACTGTCTCCCACCTCAGGCTGGTCCCTCCTGGCCCTCATCAGCCTCTGCTCTGCTTGGTCCCCCCCAGGCACAGCCGGTGTCCTGGCCTCTGACCTGCTCGGGCTCCACTGACCTTTGCCCCTGCCCACCACCCCCATCATGTTTGGTTTTGCACACAGTTGACAGATTGATTTCCGGAGCCGCGTCCTCTGCCCCTACCCCAAGGCCTGCTCAGAGCCATTGCTGGCACCTCAGTTCCCAGGGTCCAGACAGCGGTATCTATTCCTCCCCACAGGGGGATCCCCCAACCCTTCTTGCCCAGGGCCCTGAACCCCTCCTGCTTTGTTCCACCTTACTTCATCCAGGGAGCACAACCCAGAGGACATCAAAGTCTACCAGCCCCAGGGCTACAGCCAGAGAGAAGCTCACCCTATGGGACACAATCCCTGAGCCACCCTCCACCGGGACACAGGAGCCAGTAGGGACCCTGAGACAGGGGCTCACATCTACCTCACCCCGTCTCACCGTGGTGCTTGGTCATGTCGATGAGCCGCCAGGCCGTGTGGGCGGCGTTGAGTGCACCCTTGACCACACACTCCGGCCGCCCCACGAAGGTGTAGACGGTGCGGTTGGTGGATGGGCCTGAGTCCACGTCCAGCAGCACACAGCCTGCGGTCTGCGTGATGGCCCCTGAGATGGCATCAATCACCTGGGGACAGTGCCAAGCTCAGCCCCAGCCCAAGAAGGGGCTCAGAGGACCCACAGGCTGGGTGGTGCTGAACAGCTGTGAGGTTGTTCCATGCCCAGGAGGAAGGGACCTGGCCCTCCTGGCCAGGGTTAGAGACCACCTCCCCCTCCATGGCCTCTTGGTAGGAGCCTGAGGTGTGGGTGGAAGGGCGGTAGTCTCCAGGAAGAAGCAGGGGCTTAGGGCCCATTCCTGAGGTCCTGCCTGGCCTCTCTGCCTCAGGGCCTCAGTTTCCTTATAGGTTAAGAGATGGTAGGTAACATGAGGGATAGGGAAGTTAAACACAAGCAAGAAGGTCACCTGTGGATGACCCCTGTGACCTCCCTTTTCAGAGGAAGGCCCTGAGGCCCTGCAGGCACCAGATCTGCAGACTCCCTCACACCCACAGGCCCCATGCTGTCCGAGTCCCCACCACCACCCGCCCTCCCCTTGGCCTGAGCCCCCGGCCTCACCTCCTTGTTGTTCCCCTCTGAGAAGTTGGGGACACACTCCACCAGCTGGGACATGGCTAACACCCTGTTCAAGACTCCTCTTGAGGGTCAGAGAGGTGTGAGGACCACTGCTCTGAGGTGGTGAGGTCCTTGCACCGCCAGCACAGCCCACAGTGGGCTTCTTATTAACCAGGAAGGGGTGGCTCCCAAGGGCAGCACGTGACCAGACCAGGGAGCTTGGGCTGAGGACTCTGGAGGCCCTGGAGGGATAAAACCTGGCTTGTGGGGGCGTTACTGAGCTCCGGCTCAGCTTGGTCCAGGGCTTCCCACTGACCTCTCTATGACCCTGAGGTGCAATCTCCTGACCCGTGTGTCCTAGCACAGGCCCTCCACAGAGTTCAGCCCAGCACCAAGGGCATGGGGACAGCATGAGTGTGTGAGAGTGTGGGCCATGCACGTGTGCGTGTGTGAGTGTGAGCATGTCTGGGCATCAGGGTATATGCAAGTGTGGGTGCTGGTGTTCATGTGAAGTGGATGTTGGGTGTTGCTGTGAGTGTGAGTGGATGTTAGTGACTGCACATAGGTACACATTGTGGGGAGGGTGGGTGTTGTGTGTCTATAGTTTGCCATAAATGCCTGTGCACTCCCCAGGGAGCTACCCAGGAGGCTTAGGCATGATAATCATGAATTTGGGTCCCTCCTGGGTAATTTAGCAGGACTGTCTCTCAAAACTTTAAAAAAGGGCTGGAGACGTAGCTCAGTGCGAAGACCCTGGTTTAATCCCTTGTATCACAAAAATAAGATGAATGTATGAATGAATAAATAAATAAACAAACAAATAAAGTGGCATTTCCTTTTGCATGGCTGTCCTGGCCACATAGGGATACCAGACTCCTGCTGTTCCAGGCATATAGAGACACCCGAGCTCTGCTGCCCTGGCCATATCCCAAACCCTTGAAGCTCCAAAGGCCTCTCCCAGGAGTGGCCCCACAACCCTTGTCCAGCAGGGTCTGAGGTTGCATCTTCCCAAGGTAGTGCTAGGGAGGCCACAGGGCCCCGAGAGGAGATCTGTGTGGGCCCTGGAGACCCCATCTCCCCTGTTGCAGCTCAGAGGACTGGAAGCAGCTAAGACTCTCAGGAGCAGAGGCAAACAGAGTCCCCAGCCAGAACCCCATGTCTGGAGGCTGGGAGGAAAGGAAGGGTCTTTGTGGGCCGAATAATGCCCTCCCCAAGTTCCTGTGTTAAACCCCTAATACTCAAGGTTTCAAGATGCAGCCATACTTGGACACAGGGTCTTTAAAGAACTCATTCAGTTAAAATGTGCTCTCTAGGATGGGCCCTAACCCAACACACCTGTGTCCTTGAAGAAGCCAGGACTCAGCCCCACACCAAGGGTGACTGCACAAGGACACAGGGAAAAGATGCTGTCTTCCAGCCAAGGGGAGAGGCCCTCTGGAGGAACCAGCCCTGCGAGCCAGTGGCCTCAGACCAGCAGCCCCCAGGACATGTGATGACAAACATATGTGGCCTGAGCCCCCAGGCTATGGTTTTGGCCATGACAGCAGAGCTGCCTCACCCAGGATCCTATGGCACTGGGTGTCCAGAACACATCCCGTGATGGGGCGAGGAAAGCTCTCCACACCAGGGTTGGGCCAGAAGCCCGATGCCTTCATTCTTGTACCCACAGTGGAAGGACAGCAGTCAGGGGGCCCCAGCAGGAGCTGCATTCCCCATAGAGTCAGGCCTGGGCCAGGGCTAAGAACACCAGACACACAACAGAGACAGGCTGTGTGACACCAGCCCTGACTCTTGGGACATTTCTGAGACATGGAAACTGGTGGGTGCTATCAATAACTCCTGAATAGAAGCCCTAGTGCCCCCACTGTTTATAGGGAAAACAATGGAACTGGTATCCAGACTCTGGTACTTTAACTTTCTCAGGGTAAGGAACCAGAGTTCCCAAATCTAGGAAGTCAGGAGGACCTGACCAGGAAGTCCGAAGGTGGTTGGAAAACCCCAACAACCAGACCTCATGGTAAGGAGGCAGTCAGTGGACACAGGAGAACACAGAAGGCACCTGCAAAGCCAGGGCCCTCTGAGTGCAGAGGTGAGTAGTATTGGACCACAACTCAAATGTAAGCAAACTCCCTTGAGTCTGTGAATAAATGATAGGCTCAGTAAACAAATATGAAGAACAGACCAATCTCCCATGCAGAAGAATCTTCAAGTCCACAAACCTGTTCAGCAGGTAGAGCTTAGATTTGGGTTGGGGTTCCAGACAAGTCAGGCCCCGCCTGTGCCACCATCCCATCTACAAAGCAGAATGCTACTAGGACCCAGTCATGTCCACACCACTTTCCAGGCTGGCTTGGTCACCGTAGGTCCCCTCACCGTATTCCCATCTCCTCTCACTCTTGTAACAAGAATAAATGCAGAAAGTTTCAGTACCTACCAGGCGCTCCTGGTGGAGCCACCTATGGAGGCGGTCACCTGCACTGCCCATCTTGTCCACCAGCAGGGCTCCTGGTGCGGCCCCCTGTGGACATGGTCACCATCACAGTCTTCCTGAACTACATGGCTCATGGTGAAGGTGCCTGAGAACGTGGTCTCCCTCACTGCCCCACTTCTCCACCTGCATGGCTCCACTGAGGGCCTGTATGAAAGTGCTCACCCTTTTCTTCACCTGCACCTTATGTGCAGCCACAGGTACACACAGTTATTCTTACTGCCCAGCTTCTGCACCCCCACAGCTTCTGGTGCAGCCGCATGTGGACATGGTCACCACACTGTCTGTGTTCTCCAACAGCATGGTTCCTATGGTAGCCCCACGGCAATGTAGTCACCATCGCCAACTGACTTCTCTACTTTCAGAGTTTCTGGTTCAACCCATTTGGATATGGTCACCCTCCCTGCACTCTTCTCCACCCATACAGCTCCTGGTACAGCTCTACTGTGGACGTGACCCCCCTCACTGCCCAACTGCTTAGGCCACATGACTTGTTCCTGTGCAGCTTTGCATGCTGGCTTCTTGGGGACATGGCAGAATGCTACTAGGACCCAGCCATGTCCACACCACTTTCCAGGCTGGCTTGGTCACCGTAGGTCCCCTCACCGTATTCCCATCTCCTCTCACTCTTGTAACAAGAATAAATGCAGAAAGTTTCAGTACCTACCAGGCGCTCCTGGTGGAGCCACCTATGGAGGCGGTCACCTGCATGGATGCGTTCTTGTGTGGATGTGGTCACCCTCACTGCACAGCTTCTCCTCCCCGTGATTCCTGATGCAGCTCTACTGTGAACGTGGTCAGTCTCACAGCCCAACCCCCCTCCCACTTGGCTCCTGATACAGCCCCCATGTGGATGTGGTTACCTCACTTTGCAGCTCCTCCCACTACATGGTTACACCAATTTGACATGGTCACCCTCAGTGCCCAGCTGCTCTGCCCACAGGAACAGTGAGCACCAAAGGGCAATGCCACTCACCATGCTTACATGGGGCCTCCAAGGAGTTCAAGCAACTGCAATTAGCCAGCTCCTCCGCTCCTGGGCACTGGCACTCACCTAGGACCCCATCCGCTCCCTCAGGAGACTGAGCTTCGTCCAGGAGAGGTCTGCTCAGGATTCTGGTCCTGAACCGTTCATGAATGAGACAGAGGCACTCCAGGTGCTCAGAGGACAGTGGGGTACACACTGGGGTGGCCAGGCACAGGTACACCCTCACACAGAGGTGTGACAGTACAGCGGGGACTGATCAGCAAACCCCAGCTCCTACCCCTCCTCTGGTCCTCTGGTCCCCAGGGTGAACCAGCTCCCCTTCCCACAGTGTTCCTTCCCTGACTCCTGTTCTGGAGAAGTGGCCTGCCCAAAGTCAAGCACATGCTGTCATAGGGACTGAGCCCTGGCTGTCGTATCCTGAAATTCCAAACTTTGTCCAAGGGGCTGTGTTTCCATTCTGTACCGGTCCTATGTGTTCCTAGCCGTCCTGTTGCTGCCCAAACCCTTGCTTTGGCTCTATCTTTAGGGAACGCTAAAGGGGACAGGACTCGCTGGCCCTTTTGAAGCAGGCACTGAGACTTCCAAGGGTGCTGCAGGCCTCGGCTCTGCAGGCTCTTTCCACAGCTGCTTAGGCGCAGCTCCTGTAGCCAGCAGAGCCCAAGCATTCTCCACACCCTCAAAGAGTCAGAGGTGAGGCAGACAGGTAAACATGCTTTAATGAGGCCACAGTCCCCCCCAGCTCAGGCGGCGGGCTGCTGTGCTCAGGGCGAGCTCAGCCGCAGGGGGCGCTCCCACCGCCGCCACTGCCCGGCAGTTCAGCCTCCCCAGGAGGGACGCGCAGGAGGCACGGCGGCCCCCAGTTTAGAACAAACACATTTATTGCAGGAAGGGCGAGGTCTCAGCTCACCAGGCGAAGAGCGGCTTGCTGTCCTCCTTGGCGAGCTCACACAGGCAGTTCAGCAGCAGCAGGGAGTCACCCAGGAACTTGGGTGGCACAATGTCGATGACCAGCTTGCGCAGCGCGGCTGGACTGCTGTGTAGCGGGTTGGCTCGTAAGTCGGGCCGCTGCTTCAGGATGCCATAGGTGTTGATGAGGAACTCGCTGAACACCGGGTGCACTTCGCGGCTGTAGCCCAGCTTCTCCAGCCTTGTCGTCAGCGTGAGGTAGCGGTGGGTCAGTTCACGCAGCTTTTTCTCATCCACTGAGCCATCCAGGGACTTGATGGAGGTCTGTGGCCAGGTGGGTACATACAGGGCCACATCAGGGCAGCCAGGCCCCCTGCAGGGCCATCTGGGCCACTCAGAGGTGAGATGGAGGCTGCAGGCCACCCACCCCAACATCTCAAAGGTATGGGCCACTGGGCCTGCCGGGCTCCAGTGTGGACACACAAAGCTCAGAGCCCTCCTCGGATGCCCACCCTCAGTGGGGCATCATCGGGACACACCTGCTTGATCTTCTCAGGGATGTTGGACACGGTGAAGCCGTAGAGCCGCGTCACACCTGGGAACACGTAGGCCAGGATGCGCCGGTCCAGCTGGAAAGCAATCTCCCCGACAATTCGGCTGTCCTTCTCTGCACTTGCAAAGCTCTGGATCTCTGTGGACCAGGACACACCTCAAAGACCACACCCCCACCCCAGCCCCACTGCAGTGAGTAATACAAATCTAGAAGAAAACTGAAGATTTTGGAG